AGCTCAAAGCCGTTGCTATGGTTACATATACTTTGCACACTGCACAAGTGCAAATTCATTTACCATCTTTGCTGAAGTTGTCCTGTTGCACCTGCAAGCCAAATCAGGATGGATCACCAAGTTGGCCAGGACCCCAGACACTCTGAGGGCTGGCCCCTGAAAGCAATAATGTCACAGTATGTCGGCTAGTTTGTGGTAATTTCATTAATTACATAATTTGTTTTGCAAACGTTGGGTCCTGTATTACCTAATCCTCAGGCACTGTGTTGTGGATCTCTTCCTGCGCCAAACTCTAGTTTTAAGAAATGTATTTTTTTAGAGATGATATTAAGGAGCATATTCTTAAATAAATGTGTGTTTAACCAAATTACAAAAATCTAGTTGACACAGCAAACCTGATGACAGATAGCTCTCGTTGTAGAGTCTGGGTCTCACATTTCTGGCACAGGAACAACAACAAGTACTTTCTGTAGCGATGTGTTTTTTAATCAGTTGCACAGTCGGTATTGATTTGTATCTTTTGTGTGTGTTTCTGTCAATTTACTTGTGCATTTGCATGTCGAATAACCAGTCTACTCCTACATTGTAAGGTGACCATCGACTTGGAGCTCCACCTCGCCAAGAAGCCTAAGTTGAGGCCTTCCAGAAGTCCTTTCGCCCACTACGACGTCTATCTCTACAGGGTGCCCAAAACCAAACCCCGAATCCCCAACGGGCCCCGCGCCAAGACTGTTAACGGCCCCAGCAGAGCCAAGGAACGAGTCCTACGGTGGGAGGACGACAATTACCCTCCTTCTCCCCCTTGCTCTATCTGCAGCCCCAGCAGCACTCGCTCGCTGCCTGCCTCCGTGATCAACGAGCGTCAGCGGCCAGGACAGTGGACTCTGAACCCCTACACCCCCTGACGAACTGCTCCCCTTATATCGCACTGTCCTGGCGATCATCTTGAAACTGGTTCTGTGAATGTATGTGTTGCATTTCGCTGGCGTTTAGCAGAAGCTCTTATTCAGGGAACCTAAAATTCACGTGAATTTCTATGGGAGTTTTGCTTCCATAGTTCAACATATGTATCTCAGGTCGAAACAAGAAGCGGGAGCAGAATATAAAAGTGTGTCTGTCTTAGACCAGGAGGGTGCAGTCTATGGGACAAACATGGAAAGCGATTTAGATGAAGCTTCTACTTTGTTGTAGACGACCGCTGGCTTCCTCTGTCACCAAAAATCTACTCTCCCAAAAATTAATAAATGTCAACAACTGGGAAACGCTACATGTATGGTGTCCTGCTCAGGACAAGAAAATAAAAAGAATTATTTTTTTGAAAATAAATACCCAGTAATTGTTATATTGCAGGTTTCATGACAAAGGTCATAGCATATAAAAATTTAATTATGGTATTTTTCTATTTAATTGTAATTTTGTCAATATTCTGACTCTACATGTGTCCAGTGACATTAAGCTGATTTCCAGGAAGTAAAGTTGAGGTGTGTAAAAAAAACAAGAAATAATATTTTTTCAATTTTTTAAATAAAATTTTAATGTATTGATTGTTAACAGAGTTGTTCTAACAATAATAATACTAAAGTTTATTTATATAATACTTATCTAAACCAGTGATTACAAAGTAATTTACAGATGGTGACATAAGAACAGTAAAGATAAAGAATAAATAAGTGACTAAAAATTAAATTTCAACCAATTATCAACATATACTGAGCGGTAAAAATGAAAAAGTTTATTTATATAAAACTTATGTGTTTGTGTATGTCAAGAAAGTAAAGACCCCTTTTCACTTGTTTGCAACATCATTGCATCATACTGTATTGTGACAGTGCTGAACCTCAGTGTCTTTCCCAAGAACACTTCAGGGACTGTAGGAATCTAAAATGTTTGACCTTTTGATTGCAGGAGAGACTCTAAAACCCTAAAGTCTGCTGACAGCCTTCACAGAGGTAGGAACACGGTGGTGGTTATTTATATGCTATTCTGTGTTTCTGTGCCAACAATTACACCAAAACAAGCAGGCAGTTTGCCAAAAGCCAAGTCGATGAGAGCTCATTGGATTGTTCTGAATTACTCATCTCACATGACACAGTGTTTGTATTCTGAGCCTGCTACATCCAACTCGCTCGCGTCTGACTCAGCAGTGTATAATAATACTGATGTACGTATACGTGTAGAATATAATCTATGTGGTACTTCATTGATCCCTGCTGGGAGAGTCTGCTCTATTTTTTTTTATCTCAGAGACAGAGCTGCAGGGTTCAAATCCAGCTTTAGTCTCAGTTTTGACGAGTGACTACTCGACTTTCTGAACTCCGAGAACTTGAAGTTAATCATCTCAGACATGAGCCTATTTTTCATGAAGCTGATTATTGGATTACAGGTCAATATGTGGACAGAGGTGGTGAAAACACACGTCGAACAGTGACTGAAAGGAAGTTCTCATTTTTAAAACTGCACAAATCAATATTCTTATATAAACAACAGATCAAATGATAATGTAGAATACAGAAGGTGTCGCTTGAAATGACAAACCCACAGAGAACCTCAGTCTCACTGCTCGTGTAGAATCATTTTCGGCAGCTGGTTTTCAGAGAGAAAAGCACAGCAGACAAACAAAACTGAGACCATAAAGCTGGTGAATAAACTGAAGCATTTAGCAGCTAAAGACCCAGATATTTTTCTGTTTTTACTATTAGAGTTAGTGGAGACCAAACAGATATAAAAGGAGGGTGAATATTGGATTTATATTCATCAGGTGGATGCAAACATGAGTCCAATTGAATGCTGATATAGCAAGTGTTTGCTGACATAACGACTTTATAAGGTGATAATATGTTAATGTACAGCTTGTTCTGCCGGTCCCAAGTGGTCAGAAAAATAAATAAATGCAGTTTTAATGTCTCCTTTGGATTTCAGTATCTGACTAAACTCCACAACTAAGAGTCGACACACTGTCTAATAACACGGCTTTTGATGTGACTAAAAGTAAATTTGCATTGCCGCTTTTCTCGGACTTGACTTTGCAGTGTTTGGTGACTGGACCACTTCACCTGCTGTAGCACAGAAACAGTGGATATATAATCAGATGTAATTATTCCAACACGGGGCCTAAACTTCACTGCACCAGCTCCTCTGTCTGAGACCTTGAGGAGAAAGTGCAGCATTAATAAGTTAATATGAAACATCTTTAAAGACTGAAACGCAGATTCATTGCATTTACAGTCTGGATGCCTTTGATACCGAGATGTTGGAGAGCGACACACTGCCATCTGCTGCTTCCAACAATGATCAGATGATAATTTTCTATCTCCCATTTTACTTGTGTTTCAGTCAGCTGTTCTGTGTGAACCATGAGTGTAAGATGGATGACTTACATGAAGCAGACTGAATTTGAACTCACTTAAGAAGAAATAAAGATAAATTGTCTGCAGGGTTTGTGCCTCTCAGAGACACACACATGATTTTCAAGTGTAGGTGATAAAATATTTATATGACAACAGGTGTCTACATGGCTGCATTTGAGACGGTGACCTCAGCAGATAATGTGTTTAATATCGCTGATGCTGGATTCAAATATTCTGTATTATGTACTTAAAAAATAACAAAAAATATGGCGAATGTTTGTGCATTAGAACAGGAAACCGAATTCCACATGAAAGCACCAGGAGACAAAACTCTGGTTTGAGTATGTCTTCATAAACAGCATCTTCTGCTGAATTATGTATTGATACTGATTCCACTGGGGAGAACCCTGTACTATATATATTATATATAAACCCTATATTGTCATTTATAGAAGAGTATAGTGTAATATGATGTACATACATATCTTAATCTGAATGATTCAGCTGCAGAAACATGCTTGATGCATAAATTAGAGTTCTGCAGATACTCCTGTGCTAAATAGGACACTGATGTCTGTTTATGTATGTATATGTTTTGTTAGGATTGTCTTTGCCAAACTAAATCCACTTACATGTATCACATGTTGAGCAGGAGGAAGTTTTGTGCAGACAGAGAAAGCTGAGCCAGAAATAGAGGGATTAAAGATATCCTCTGCTCAGTTCTTTTTTTAAACAGATAGATTTAAAGATGAGTTTTCCTGCTCAATTACCTCAGCACACAATTAATTAATATCATTGTAAAGGAAAAGGAATGTGATAATGATGTCTTGCAGACAATTGTAACAGCCAGATTAACAAGTATTCTAATGATGTAAATGATTATGAAAATAACAAATATTATATTAAATATTAAATATTTAACAGTTAATTTTCAGGTATAAAAACATTTGGATTATCTCATTAAAAAAAATTAGCTTGTAACAATGCCTTTATAGCAGAGTTAGATATCTCTTGAGTCATGTTTTGATGCTAAAAATGTATTCATTTAAATGAGAATCTGATTAAGAGTGGAACAGTGTAGAGCAGAGAGTAGATTCTGTATCTCTGAGGAATAATTTGACACCATAGTAATGAAAATTATTAATTTATTAATTCAACTGTCCTGAATACTTGTACTGATACTACTAATAATATCTCTATCTCTACAATAACACTTCTGCTACTATTACTGCAGTACAACTGCTTACTACACTGCTACTACTGCTACTGCTGCTCTACTGTTAATACCGTCACTCATTAACACAATACTACCAGCAGGAGGCGCTGTCTGCAACTCGACATGGATTGAAACACAACGAAGAAGTCGCCATGCGCTAGCAAAGATCGTCTATTAAGGTGCCTGTATCTGTCACCATGGATACCATTTTTTCAAAGACCCGAGTTGGTTGGTTTTCAAAAACCAAAACCGCTTTAAAACCTATAATTTGCTTCTAATGGAAAATTCGTACAAATACTTTTCGAGTACAAAATTATATGTAGCAGTAACCCGTTGCTAACGGCTTTCCCGTTATCGGAAGTATTTTTTTCTGCTGCCAGAAATTAGGTGCAGAGTTACACCTCTTCTTTAATTTTGGCTCTTTGTTTGAAGCATGCTACCTGACGTTAGCACAACAGACAGCTAGCAGATCAAAAAGCTATTTGACAACTGATTAAAGTAGGATATCTTATGTTACAGTTATACCCATGGATTAACAATACAAGCTTTTAGAGTAGCACCTCCTAAAAACGTTATTTTAGCTAATTTATCAAGTGTTTAGCTTGTGTTATTTACAGTTAGGTTAGCTATGTATACAGAGCTCAACAGCATCCTGAGCACCACTCCCGACAGCTTCACACAGGTAATATTGTGACATCTGTAATTCAACCAGTATGGTGATATGTACGGTAACACTGTGCTTTATTAAAACACTCACTGCCCTCTATGCTTACGTTAATATGTGTAAGTTCCTGTTGTATTTGCTCCAAACTTTAGCAGCTGTGTAGCCTGCAAATCATAAATGACAACGTCCTTATTGTTGTAATGATGTTTGTAACATTGTGTGAACCTACAGGGAGAATTTATCTTGGTGTCAGATAGACAGAGTGATGCGTCTTTCCTCATTCACCACTTCCTCTCTTTTTACCTACGAGGTGAGTTGTTAACACCTGTCAGTCAAAACAGGAAAAACATTTCGTTTAATTCAGGTATAAACAGCAGCTGATGCCATCTGTGTTTTCTGTCTCAGCACGTTGCAAAGTGTGTTTCCTGGGCCTGGTGCAGTCCTTCAGTCACTACAATGCAGTCAGTCAGAGATTGGTGAGTTATACACAAGAAGAGTGTTATTTGAATAAATTTATTTAGCTGTCATTCACCTAAATCATATTGTGTATAATCCCTTCTACTTCCATCTTTAGTTCTTATTTCTTTTCCAGCAGCTTTTGTATTACTGAGTCATGTTGGGGTCAAGATTTATTTCCAGGGTTTTTTTTATTATGAGGTTTTTCCTTCTAATGTTAGCTATTCAGAAATTCATGCATATTCCATCAGCACTGGGTTAAAATGTATATTTTGACAGGTCTTTATTTGATTTTGGCACTCTAGTGGATGTCAACTAAAGAACATATGACTTGAAAAATTATAAATTTGAATCACTGCATTAATTTATTCAGTCTAGTCCTGCCTTATTTTAGCTTTACTTACATTAAATGATGGCAGAAACTGTACATTTTTAAAACCTGTTTGTATATGTGTGTGTTTTGTGTGTTTTCAGGGTGTAAGTCTAGCACAAGCGAAGGAGAAAGGTCAGCTGATATTTCTCGAGGGACTCACAGAGTCATTGTCTGTTTTGTCTCAAGAAACCAACTCAGGAAGTCAAGCCATGGACTTCCTCAGGTGCAGAAAATATCACTTTTATTTTTTATTATATGATATGGTTTCATTGACCCCTTTGTTTTTTTTTTTTACATTTATATATCTTTGCCATCATGGTATCAGGTTGTTACCACTACACTACTTTATCTTTCAATAATATTGTTCTATAACCAATACCAATATATTCATACACTATTCCTTAGCTTATCTCCCTCTCCCTCATGTCTCCGTCCTCAGGGATCCTACAGTCGGCCTGCGGCGTTTGTATGAGTTCATCCGGTCCAGTGTCAGCAGTTCAGGCGGTGGGGAGGACGGGGCAGAGGAGTGGGGACCCCCGGTGTTGCTGGTTGACGATGTCAGTGTACTGCTGAGTCTGGGGGTGAGCGCTGAAGCCGTGTTGGACTTCAGCCACTACTGCCGAGCCACAGTCTGCTCCCAGCTACAGGTTTGATTTTTGCTGTCAAATAGCAGTATGTGAACCATGACAAATTAAAGCTGACACTTACATGGCCAAAATATCTCCACACTCCTGAATGAGATTTTGATTTAACTCTTGTGTTGTCTTCACATTCTGTTTGCTCCGCTTGTCCTCCGGGTCAAAAATGACCCGCCTTCACTAAACCACTAAAATAAAGAAGCTTAATTGAATTTTTATCACCAAATCTAGTTTGCATGAAGAAACAACCTGCCATTCATCACAAACTGTGTGAATATCTGAGTTTTCCCTCTTCACAGTGCAGAAAGACTCCATTTATTAAGTGTACCCCCACTCGTTTTTATCACAACACTGCTGTCATAATTGTCTTCTTTACTAAAGTAGAGATTTATTGTTAATATCATCATTTCTTAAGGTACTGCAGAGGTGGTAAACAGTATTTTTATCAAGAGATAGTACTTGTGTAGCCTAAGAAAGAAGCAGAAATGTGCAGAAAGTAGTTTTGAATGCATTTCATTGGAGGCGCGCCCAACAACAGTCAGGGGTTTTTTTTGCCAGTGAACAGTTATATATTAATTTCTTTACAATTAGGAATTAAACAACAAAATATATATCCCCATTTTTTAACCATTGCTACCACCCAATAAGTGTTTAAACACAACAAACAATAGACAACAATAAAATACACAAAAAGAATGTGAACAACATAAATTAATCAACTAATTAGCACATGTAGGGCAGTACACAACTGTGTGTGCATGGACTTTGCAGATATATTTCTCACATGTGCAGCACACAGTATGTGTTTTACAGGCCTTCATTGGTGGGCAGACCTGTCCCAGCTGGATCCTCAGGTAGATCAGGAAAAGATCCAGTCCCCTGAACAGCTTTCGTGGTTCGGGTTATGGTTAGTATTAGGCTGTTCAGCAGTAAAACGTGCACAGAGAGAACTCGGGGTACTGTCATCTGCAGCACTTTTCCAGCCTCTGAATGTAGAGGCATTAGTGAACAATTCTTTCAAGAAATCTTTATTTTTTGTCTGAAATAGTTTGAACTTGAGTCATGTATGGGGTTGTGGAAAGATGATGCTGCACCTGCAGGAGAAAGTTGTAGTTCTGTCTAAGATCAATCAGTCGGACACAAACTCAATTGCTTGTGTGTGTGTGTGTGTGTGTGTGTGTGTGTGTGTGTCTGTTGTTTTTTAAGTGTGTAACTAACTCTGTGACTGTGATTTTAACTGCCGGGTCAAAAATGACCCGAAGACAATCTTTGTACCCTGATGGTGTGCAGCTTACATGGAAATAGGAACAAAGGCAATATTTCATTTTTTCTAATGTTGGGCTCACTTCAGGAAAAGTCATCGAATTTCAAGTTGAAAAAAGATCATTTAGGGAGTTTTCTCTGCTGTTAAACACAGTGGCGGGTCATTTTTGATCCGAAGACAACACAAGGGTTAAGCATTTTACATACATGCCATTGTCAATCAATACAGCACTGATAATCTCAAGTGGTATTGCTTTCATCTCATGAAATCCTTTAGATTGATTGTATTTATGTATAAAAAATATTTACTACTGGGCTTCAACTTGCAGTAAGGAGGTTAGGCGTCAAATCAACAGTGAACAACTCGCATAAAAAATCTGTCTCTTATCACTGTGACTTTGATTGTGACTGCAGGGCAACACGGTGATGCTGGTACGTTGTGATGGGGAGGAAGTGGTGGACGACGGAGATGATGAAGGCTCAGAGCGACTCCTGAAGGGCCTGACCCACCAGTGTAGCCTCACCCTTCATGTACAGGGTCTCCCAACTGGCTACTGTAGGGACATACACGGACAGGTGTGTGTGTGAACATACATTTTGCAACACAGCATAGATGCAAGAAATTACAGTCGTACACATATCAGTAACTTTTAAAATAGTCATACACATGGCACAATGTGTAGAAAACGTTACATTCAAATAACATACTGAGACTAATATAATGAGAAGCTGAAATCTTTCATTAAAATGTAAGTAAACCTACATTATTCCTTTGTTTTGAGGTGGAGGTGTGTTGGAGGAGGAGACAAGGCGATGGACAAAACACACAGAAGAAACTCTTTCAGTACAAGGTCCATGATAAAGGAGCCTCCTTCTTTGCTCGAGGGACATCCAGCGCTGTTCTCTAATTGCAACCTTCAACATCCTAACGTACCTTTTAACACATGACAACTGACTGTTATGTTTTCATACCAAGACAATACAAATGTTTGTTTGTTAGCTGCCAAAGTGGTTCGCCAGCCATAGCCAAGCTTCATGTTTGGCTGGCTGCTAGTGTCAGTGACCCAGTCTGGACCCCAGACTCTGGAGGAAGGACAAAGTGATCCTGCCTGCTGATAGCCTGGTTTCAGACATCTGAATTGCTCCACACTGTTTTTTTTTTCAGTTCTTCAAATAAAAGAAGTGGATGAATCGGTTTTTTGCATGGTCACAGTGAAATCTGTATATAGATTTTCACATTTTTATGTCCTGCTACCATGGTACATGGTATGCAGTACATTATGTTGTCATGCTGGCTTGTGGACATGATTACATAAGAACAATACATAGTAGAAACTTCATACTTACACCACAGGTTCCCCATAAGGACTTTTCCAATCTGATTTGGAGCACCTTGCTTTAGAAATTTGCATATTGATGAGGGAGCACTGATTTTCCAAAAACTGCTGCAACCCTTTGACACTTTTTGAAGATTACAAGTTCAAACTGATATTAGATCTGTAGCATGTGTTGGTATAAGAATCTGTGATTAATTAATGGACTCGTTTTTATTAAAGATAACTCGAGAACAATCTATAGCAGTAACTCCACACATACACCACAGGAAATCCATATGTAGTACATGATTCATCACACTAGATGGCGCTCTTCCACCGATCCTCACGCTGCGGGGTGAGAGGTCGAAGTGGAGAGGTCTCTGTGGGACTTGACAACCAGTAGGTTTGAAACGCTGCGCCTGCATGTCAGCGTCAGGTTTGGGGGCATGCGAGTTAGCCTTTAGCCAGTTTCCAAAACAAAAGGAATAACACGGCGGTTGCTCGTCTGTTTACCCCGGAAGACCTCACCAACAACTACGTTTGGGGATCTCTGAAGTTTGTCCAGGCAAGTGTGCGAACAGTTGAGCTATAAACCGCTACCATTAGCTGCGATGTGAAAGTTAGCTTCGTGGTGGGGAAAAGCATGGGAGCTGCTGGATTGTTTAATCACCCCATAATGTTAGCAACAGAGGCGTTGTTATGGCTATAGCAGTGAAGCTGCAGCTGCTGGGCTAACGCACCTCCGTTTTGTTTTTATATAATCAGATACGAGCCCCGGACATCCCAAACCTCACTGTAGAACATAACATCGCCCTTGTGCCAAGCAAGCTAACTTTAGCGTTAATTTGTTTTTGGCAACGTTATTAGCGTAGCTCCAAACTACTCCTATAGTTTCTCTGTGACAGCCATGTTAACCAGGTGTTCGTAGCTCTAGCCCCCTGTAGCATTTACGAGCCTGTTTTTATTTAACAATAGCTTATCTGATGAATATGAAATATCATATTAATCTGGATACGAGTTCACTGGATTCGTCAACATTGCTCGCCCACTTGCTAGCAATATTAGCCTTTAGCTGGGTGCTATCACAAGTTGTGTGCCGGAACTGACAAGGTGTAACAATTTGTAGAAACGGTATACTTCCATGCGTGTGTTTAGCTGTGATGGTAATAATACGGAATGGCAATTTTTTTGTATACATTTGTTCTCTTCGTTTTTTTAAATGCACTGGTTGTAGAGTGATGCGAGAGAGCCACTCGCGTAACGTTAGCACATAGCAGTTACTGGGTTTATCGTTAACTTCTACAGTTCATACATTTATTTCACTTAAGTGACACACTTGTGTGTTAGTATCTAACTCCGATTGTTATTACAAAGACTTTAAAACGAGTGTTATGTACTAAAAGTTGAGGACTTCCTGTAAGATGCTTCTAGCTAACGATAGCTGTCTGTTTAACGTTAGCTAGCCAGCAAGTTTGACAGCAGGTTCCTAAAAAGGGGGTTCACTTATGAAAACACATGAACCCCAGTCAAGGCAACTGCGATGCTTATTTGTGCGTCAATTAAAGGTATTTAAAAAAAAACATGAAAAAGTAATTAATTATGCGATTATTAGCATGGCATATTCTAGCTCAGTGGTTTCTCCACCTTTTCATGTCAAAACTACAGAAGTGATGACAGGCCATGAACTGTTTTTTAGTTGAGGTGCAGCAATAGAGCCACTGAGCTCAGAAATGTTTTGGGCTAAATAATGTAAATGTACTCACTTTCTGCTGATGTGTAAACCTGTGTTAGATTGTTCATCCATATATAAACTCTTCTTTGCCAAAAAGAAATCTCACTCATTTATGAAGTTAAAACTACACATCATTTACTGTAGGACCATCCTAGAGCCTTGTTTGGGACCCTTGGGCATCCTTGGCCACTGTTTGGGAGCCACTGTGCTTGCTTGTTCCTGGCAGTTGATGTTGCCACAGAGTTGCATCAGCCCCACCATCCCTGCATGTGTTTACTGTGTTGTGATAGCTATTTCACCATTTTGGCTAGTTTGGCTCCAAATTGTACAGACGGTTACATGTGCCAGAAAAAGATGACTTTTGAAACTTTAACAAGGGTCATGTTCTTTTAAAAACTTGTACTTGATACCCTTTTGTTATAATTGATAAAAAAGATTTAGTATTTATTAAGTATATGTATTTTCTTTACCTTTTTATCTAAAGAATTTGTTAGGAAAGGGAATCGGACAGGTTGTTACACATCACAAATTATTACAGTATGGTTACTGATTGACAGCACAGTTCCCTCTTTTATCATCAGCTCTGGTTGTAAAAGGCTGTGTTGCAGTAATCTGTTCATCCACATCGAGCTTGGACTAATGGGCTTCACTGATCAGAGGGGCATGCTTTCGCATTATGCAATTATGACACTGAATGCAGTCATCTTACGGAGAATTGAGCCCGAAGCTCTCTGGAATGTTTTTGGATATTGGTGTAGTTTTTGTTTTGCAGTAATTCATGTGTAGATATAGATGAGGCCTGTAAATGTATTGCATGATAGAGAAAGTTGCTTATTATGTCATTGGAATCTGTAAACCCTGGAGATGCCTTCAAGCTGGGCATTTTGGGAAGTGTAGAAAAGAGGTAAGATGGCATTTTTGCTATTTCCCAAATCTCTCTTTTCGGTTGTTGTCATTGTAAGTGTGAATGTGTGAGTGTAAATGTACTGTCCTAGTTTTGAAACAGCTTTGATACAGTTCATCCATGAACTGTGAGAACCACTGTGCTCACAGTAATGTTGTTGGCATGTGCCTTTATAAATCCACCCTAATCTGCAAGACACCCAATTAAGCTGCAGAGACCCACAACAATCTCCCTAAGTGTACAACGCTGTGTCTGTCGTGTCCGTAGCTGTGTTTTTGTTTTGCAAGTGAGTGTGCTGGCTTCTCACGTGGGAGCCATATAGACTGCTCTTTGTTACATTATTAGTTGCCTAGCACGTCCGCGCACATGCACATGGTTCTTGAACTGACACATTTTCCATGGTCTTGTCATAAAGATTTATTTGTGGTTGGTTTGTTGGGTTTAAGCAGAAATATTATTTTAACTCGCTCAGCCATAGTAGCTGGTATAGCCCAACAAACACCATCCGGCCAGACAGAATAGGATTTCCAAACAATCGCTGGTCACCTGCCAAAGTGGCTGAAGGGGACACAAAATCACCAGCCTGAGACAACAGTTTACCAGCACTCGGCTTGTAGCTGGTATTTTCTGCCCTGTTTGTGAATTTCAGGTTTTAAAGCCTGCCTTTGTGATGCTTTTGAGATGTGAATGTCTCGGCATGCTACAAAGTTTGTGATAGAGCGGTTCAAGGCTGTGACCAGAGGAGGAGAGAAGCAGTGGGGGGTGGCCATAGGCCCTGAGCCCTGCTCGTTGAGTTTCCGATCGGCTAAATCCCGGATTAGTTCACTGACGGAGATGTTGCTGAGCCTTTGCCAAATCAGGCCCCGCTGCTGCACCCACGTAACTCCACACAGCATGCAGTGAACTGGACAGACAGCTGAGAGATGGAGGCATTCATGGAAAGTTTTCCCTTGCAAGACACTGAGAGGGACCAGAACCTGGCTGAGACTCGACTTTCCTTCAGAAACGGAGAGCAGAGAGGCTTTACTTCAAAGCCCTGTTTTGACCTTTGCAGAACCCATTGTGCAAGCTTGCTGGGACGTTGCGGTGTTTACTGTATAGTGTATTTATAACAGCAGATCAAGAGACTCCTGAGGCGAATTCCTCCTGGGGTATGTTTCCGTTGCTCCCAGGGGGGCGAGCCGAGCAGCCACACACTCTGCCTGAATCGAGAAGGAATCACTATGTTAACCACAAGGCGCCACTTAAGCTAAAAAAACCTGGACATAAACGGCTGCGAGCCAGAGAGATAACCTGGTCCCCCATTAGCAGGTATGGTCTCAGAACCGTGTGAGGCTTGTATGATGGATACAGTGTGTTAACGGCCGATGTTACAGAGCTGTATTTGTTGTGTTGTGGCACGGTTAACAATTAATATGGTGCTACTTATGGACATCATGTGAGAAGCTCAGGCGAGAGAGAGGGTTGGTGCGGATCAGCAGAATGAGACACTGTGCGGCTGCAGTGGGTTTGCTAGGGCAGCCAGTTAAACGTTGTAATGGAGCAGTGTGTAACTACAAACACAGGACAGGCAGAGCTCAACCAGTATGCTGAGCAAACAGAGAGACGAGAGCTGAGATTGAGCAGGGAAGCCGACGGGAGATTGAGCTGATATGGGGAAACTGACTGAACTGATTCTGTTTGAAGTGAGGCGTACCACCCATGAGGCAAAGAGTTCACACATTTCCTCTGCTTGTGTTGACATTAAATCAGTCCGCAGTCCACTGTCAAGCACAGAGTCATGTCAGTGTGCCATGTTGTTTTAAGAAATCAAAATATAATATTGAATTTATGACTTTCAGTGGAATCATAGTGTGGCAGTATGAACATAGTGATTAAGCATTAAAAACTAACAAAAGCAGTAATTTGTTTTACACGTGTGATTTAGTGTAGATTTGCCCTATATGATCTAAACCAGAGGAATAATTTCAACATTATGATACTGATTGTAACTGAAACAATACGGCAATTTATCAAGTAGTTGATCAACAAAAAATAATTGTCAACTATATTGACAAGCAATTAATCAATCAGTAATTTTTCAAACAAAATGCCAAACATTTGCTGATTCCAGCTTCTAAAATGCAAATATTCGACAGGATTCAACAAGATTTTGGAGTGATGGTCAGATAAAATGAGCAATTTAAACAAGTCACCTTGAGCTCTGTGAAAAATTATAACTTTGGGATGATATCGGATATCAGTCCAATACTGACTCAAATAGCTGGATCGGGTATCTGCGTCAATAGGGCCGAGCTATGAGCCATTCAACCATTCAATGCGATTCTACGTTATTCAGTGTTACGTGTTATGCCATGCGTTGGTGGTAGACTCGTACATTTTAAAGGAGAGCTAGCATAGCATGGAGGGAGCTAAAAACAAAGGGACGCCAACAAGCCCTACGGCTGCTTCTAATATCTGCGGAGCCATCGTTTTCGAGAGGTGGCAGTGGCACTGCAAATTTATAAAACAACCAACCTAAACACCGGTGTTGGATATTGAGTATTCACCATCACTAATGAGGAAACGGGACAAGTGTGACCAACATTGCTTCAGGGCTTCCTCATTTAAAATTTATGTATTTACAGCATGTGGTGTCTTGAGTTGCTACTACCTGTGTAAATACTCAGTCTCAAATTACTCATGTTAAAGTAATGTCTTACCTGCTTACTTTATTTAATAAAGGCCAAAACCTTAAGATGATAATTTTACAATGATAGAAAAAATGAAAAATAAAGGACCAGTGAATTAATTTTTTCCTCAATAAGTTATATAAACAAATGATTTTTAAGATTATTGTTAATTAATTTGTCAGTCTTTGGATTTAATAATCATTTCAGCTTTAGGAAATACTTAAAGGACCTCCTGTAAGGGCCCCTGTCTTTCACCTTGGGCAGCTTATCCCTCTGTTTTTCCACCTGAATGAAGAGGAATTTACCCGCTGTCGTGTGACAAAAGGCCGTTATCAGTGAACCTGTTGGCTGTTTTTTATCAAGTTGTGATCAATGAGACTTGTCCTTTGCTTAAGCCTAGCTGCTCAGCCGGAGTTGCGTGTTTTCTACAGGAGGAATGTGTCCACACCTTTTTGGCTGCTGAATGAGCGGTGTGTTTCAGTGCTGTCTGCCATGTGACCCCTGTACGAGCTTGTCTGTAGGAAAAACACACCGCGCCTGTAGTCGGCAACATGTGCCCCGACACTCGGAGTATGTAGCTAATTAGGTGTTAAGGACAGAGCAGCCCTATGAGAACCGGCCTCCGTGTGTGAGTGTGTGTGTTTGTCTGTGGAGATGTACCGCAGCATACTGTTCCGCCATGTTCAGGTGCAAATTTACATTTATATAAAAACCCTCTCCTAGGTTACCGTTTTGTTTTGATGTATTTATTTAAACTTCGACAGTGGGATTTTACATTGAACCAAATGACTAAATGTGCACATCTTATGCAGTGAATGCCTGGTCCAGTAAATTCTGTTGATGATAGATTGATACCAGCTTTATTGATTGATTAATTAATTACTGATAAATACTTGATAAAGATATTGAAGGAGAGTAAGCAAACGTTTCATATTTTCACCTATGTGACATCAGGTTAAATGATGTGTTTGTCTCGCTCCTCCAGGTCCCTGGATGCCCCGCGGCGCACTGTCCTCCGCCGCCCAGTGCTTCCCAATGGCCGGGAGTTGACCCCGCCCACCAGGATGACGCTGCGCGAGCAGCTGAGAGAGAAGATCTCGGCGGCCTTCTACCGCCACGGGCTGCTGTGCGCCTCCTACCCAGTGCCCATCATCCTCTTCACCTCCGCCAGCATCCTCACCTGCTGGTAGGTGATGTGTCTGTGGTTTTGTGTGGACGCTTCTTTAGATTAAATTCCATTTGTTTGATGAAGTGTTGATACAAACTGGTAGAAACAGGGAGCGTCAGTAGGAATACAGGGAGCAATTCTGTAACACCCAGAATGATGATGTAAAAATGTAAAATAACATACAAATAAAAAAAAAAACATATCAGATACAATAAAATGGCCTGGCAGTACAGATCGGAAACTATTAGATTATTTTTCAGCTGTGTTGTGGACAAACATGGGGTGTTTGACATACTTTACATAAGGCTCAATGGCGGAGCAGAGGATTATCCTGCAGGAGTAGTTTGACAAGTTTCTAAGCACATTTTTACACATTTCTTTTACCCTGTCTCTGGCTCTCCATCACACTCTTCAGAAACCCTCCACGCTTCTCTGACATCAGATTACAGGGGAGCTATGTCTGATGATTTCTGTCCAAAACCCCACAATCTGACATTCACACCCACTATCACGCAGAGATCGGCCACCTGTGCAGAGGTCAACCTCTCGCTCAGTTGTTACACAGCAATTTCGCTGCACTTTTTTGCTGTGTACAAACAAGTGCGACACTGTGAATGCCCTCCAGGAGAGACTGTCTGAAAATGTGCACCATTATCCCGCATTTTTAACAAAAGTATCACGTCTCGCTTCTCTCTGTGACGACCGGCTTTTCACCTTTCAAGTGTCACTTTTTGGACATCCTGTTAATTCAAACTAGCTTCTTTTACTTTTCCATAACCTGTCCTTTAGAATCTACTGAAGCTGGTGTGACTGCAGCTTTACTGACACTTTTTAAACCAGTGTTTGATAGTAGAAAGATGTGTAGTCAGGCTCAGCTCATTTGAACTGGCCATCTGCACTCACATAACAGCCCCCCGCTGTCACCAGTGCACAAACACTCGCCTAACACACGCACATCGCCACTCTTGCTAAACCGCTGGTCAAAAGAGAGAACAGGGGTCAGAGAGTTGGCCAGTAAAGGCATTGTAAAACAATCTCAGCAATCTGAAACACACGCATGCACCTGCTGCGTGCTGTCCTCGCAGCATCTTCCAGCAGGGGTGCCCCCAAACAAATGGACGACTGACCGCCACCCGGGGCGAAGTGAAAGAAAAGAGCTGGACGACGGGGATGTTTAAGGCAGGACTAGAGCAGAGGGCTGTGAGAAAATGGCCCTGTGAGAATGCGAGGCCTGTCCCTCCATCTGTCTGTCAGGAGGGGGGCTGGCTCTGCACAAAAGAGGCCTTTGTGGAGGTACAGTGACCTTGGAGAGTGGGGGAGGCAGCGGGAGGGAAGGAACTGAGAGAGGGAGAAAAACAGAGGGGAAGAGTTTTCTATCCAAACGATGACCAGCAAATTTCCAGAGGGGAAATAAGTAATATTTATACAAGAGCACAAAACGACCTCACATGGAGGTTGATAATGTTATTGATCGATACCAGTGACTCAGCAAATACTTGATCAGCTGCTCCTCAGTTTTGAAACCATTTTCAAAATACTCACATAGCAGATACATGTGGAGGTGTCGTCCTGTGATCACAAGGGTCTGATCTCAAACTTCAAAAAGTGGACGTAGAGAATGATTTCATCGTAATTAGCATAAATTCGCACACACACATTTTGTGTATATTCATGCTACAGTAAGTACAGCCTCCCCTCCAGGATTCATTCACTGTCTCACTGCACAGTACACAAAAGGCTTTTTCTCCCATGTGTGCCAGTATGTTACTGTTCACTCAATGGGTCTCATTCACCAACCATTCTTCACAAGAAATTTCTTCTTAAAACCAACTTACGCACTTTTTTACAAAGATTCTGACGTTCACCAGTGTTTTCTTATCTGGGATTTGAGTGCTGACATGATTGAGCAAAATAAGTGGTTATTGCGTTTTCTTCGGTTCTACGGTTATATAATATTATGTTATTTAAATTACAATAATATTTTTGTCATTTATAATATATTTGATTTATTATGGTTTTATAAATGACACTTCAGAACTACTAAAGTTCCTTTTGCGTTTTGATTCCGGTGCTCCGTCTTTAGATTTTCGTTTTGGCATTTTCTCAACTTTCCCTTACGGTTTCTCTTTGTGACTTCTATCTGTGTTTGCACACGACCCTTCAGTCTCATGCACTATTTAAAGGCATTTTCGGGTTTTCAGTTTACCTATGCTAATTAGGGCCAACTGGCACACGCGGAGGAGATTGGCATTCATCAATCTTAAGAACACAGGTGCGCACAGTTCTGCGGTTTAACAGCACGTTCATGAATCTGACGTAGAGTTTTCTTAAGAACTTTCTTAAGAACAACTTATGAAAGAATTTAAGAAAATACTTGATAAGATATTGGTGAATGAGGCCCATTGTACTCAGCGGTTCAGGTAATTAAATGTAAATGTTTCCCTGTGGCAGAGAAAACGTATTTCATGGCAGGTAGACAGGAAAACAACAACCAGTCAATAGATATATTTCAGTTTTTTCTAAGGAAATCTACCTTAAAGGAAAAAAAGAATCCACTTCCTTTTGTTTTTCATTAAGAAAAACCTCATTCGCTGAAGACTTGCAATTTCCAGTTTTAATTATTTACTACTGCTACAGATTTTTGCTGTAAAGGAGTGACACAGGAGCGAACAGGCGGTAAACAAAACTTAACATCTGTCAAGCTTAAAGACACAAAAGTCTCCAATATCTCTGTCGCTGTTTTGTCAACAACAAGCAGCTCACAACCTGGTTGCCGAGTGTCTGATTCTCCTTTCGGAGCGACACAGCGATGTGACTCAGCGGTCGATCTGAATGGGTCAATGCATGTCGGCTTCATGTTTGGACAGGGGAGGGGCATTGACCAGTTTCGGTTGGTTTTGGTTTGTCTGTCGGAGATGGAAATTGATTTAACAATAAATGTGATTTAAACGGCTTGTGGAAAGAGAGAGAGAAGAAAGCAGATATTTATGGGCTAGAAAATGACAGGGAGTGCGTGTGGTCAGAAGTGGTTTGAGTGAAGTGTATGGAACAACTCTGCAGACTGGAGTCTTTGTATACAGTGGCGACCAGAGTAAAAGCTGTTTGATAGGAGTGTCTCAATCCTGCATCGAGTCAACTTCAGTCATATGCACATCTCCTTTATAACAGGTATTGCTCAGCTGCAGCCTTGCTCCTTTTGACGTGCTGTTAAAGTTTTGTAGCAGCGCGGTCTTCAGTGTTACACTATTATATTTGGTTGCTTGGTCTTTGGAGAGGACTTGAATTTTCTCAGACCTCAGATATGACTGGATTGGGACTCTTCTATCGAGGAATCAGATTGCAAACAGGCCTGTGTGCGCCCCCTCCGTCAACACATCGCAGGCTGGCATGTAATTTAAGGTACTGCTGAGAAAAACAGATTGTGACCCAGGCGGTTGCTGTAGTTAGTGTGACAGATTAATCCAATCCAATTTTATTTATAAAGCCCTTTTTAAAAACAACACTGTTGACCAAAATGCTTTATGATAACGATAAAATACAAAAAAAAAGACATAAAACACGTTGTTTTATCTTTGGTCGTGATGAAATGTGAGGTGAACAGTACAAACATGACATTGATGTTACAGTCATCTACCATGAATGTGCTCTTCCTTGTATTTGATTGGACAACACAGCACCTTGCCAGATGACGTCACGTTGCGTTGCAGTAAAAAGTTAGTTGTACGCGGTTCAACTTTTGCGGTGGATGACCGTTCGTTGTTTCCCAGAGCTCCCTGCGTCGACGCCGCTGCCGCGCCATCGGACCGGCTCCATTCAAATGAATGAGGAGGCTGTTTTTTTTGGTTTTTCTTCATGCAGGGCTCAGGTTGTTCTGAACACAGCCTCAGATTCAGTCAGTGAACTGGTAACTTTGTCTTGGTCTTGACAACAGTCCTGTGGCCAGCTTTTCTTGAGGCGCTGCGTCCCGACTCGACCGCCGACTGTAAAGGCCGGTATGATGTCACACTTAGATACTGTCAGTCTGACATGTGGGCTTAGTGATGCGTGAGTGGTAAAAGGGTTTCTCTCCCACAGCTGGTTTTTCAGGACTGGAATTAACTGTGTTTTTGTTAAACCTGTGATGTTGTTACACATGATCAGTAAGCAGAGAGAAAGCCCCCAGTAACATGCTCCTTCCTCCATCAGAAGAACACCAAATGAACTCGCTGCCACTACACACATACACACACACACACACACACACACACACACACACACACGCACACACACACATTCACAACGTGAGGAAGTAAGTAGTTTGTGGGGAAACAAGTAGTGAACTCTTTTCAGAAGGACCCACCCGTTTCCTGGAGAAAGAGGGAGCGGGTCTCTCCAGGTAGCACTGAGTGTGGCAAGAAACGCCGGAGGCTGCGGTGTCATGTTCATGTTCTCACGAGCACGCACACGTACACATCACTCGAGAGCAACCCCTTCACAAACTGAGGCACTCACCTCTAACATGACTTCATCCTCAAGCTCTCTGCTCTTTATATCTCTCCGTCTCTGTGTTTGAATACATGCATTAGTGTTTATATGTCACTGATAATGTCTTATAGTGATTAATGAGTAAGTTAGGAAAATACTTCAATCATTTTGATTATTTTTCAACTTTTATCTTCAGATTTTAGAAGATTTTATTTGTAGTTTCATATTATGATGCTTCGTGGCTGCTTTTCATACTGAGAAAAGTATGACGATCAAGTCAGGCAATCGGTTGTAATGCGTTCATTTTCTAGTAGAAATAATCGTTGATTGCAGTCTTAGTAGCAAATATAATAGTGCATGGATGTGCATTGTTGTCTGAACACTGTCAGATGTTGTTGCTTAAATACTGGTTGAACTGAATCTCCCTGAAATGTTGTTGAAAACACGTCAAACAGACCAAATCTGCACACGTTGACTCGTTCAATCACTCTCACACTTGTGTTTCATAACTGTTTACCCTGTGATCCCCTCCCCCCTACCCCCCTCTCTCTCTCACTCTCTCTCTCCCTCTCTCTCCCTCAGCTATCCGTTATTGAGGCTTCCCCTGCCTGGGACGGGTCCTGTGGAGTTCACCACAGGGGTGCGAGACTACAGCGTCCCTTCCCATGAGCCTCAGGGAGACCTCGGAGAACGGCCCGACTGGGTAGGAGAAGAGAGAGAGCGCGCACACACGTTTATATACATCCCATCATTTTTAGTATCTAAACATCACTTTTGTCCCTGTTCCTTTAACTGGATTCATTCCTTAACCCTGAATCCTGATCCCTCAATCTCAAACCTGAATCTGAACCCTGAGGGAACGTCTGTAAAGACGAATTGTCCTCACGCTGAGAGTCGAAAACGGGTTCTTAGATGCAGGCACATGCAGACAAGTCTAACTGTAAAGATGAAGGAATGGCTCATGTCACAGTGGCAGGTTCAGTAGACTAAAACAATGTTATGTTGCGTCTCAACATGTCACCTACATGCTTGTGTGTGTGTGTGTGTGTGTGTGTGTGTGTGTGTGCGCTGTAGTATCGGGGTCCTCCGGTTGCCTACATCCAGCAGGTGTTGGTGAAGGCAGCCGTGTCTCCGTGGGACAGCAGCCTGGTGCCAGTGGACGTGTTTCGGTCGCCACTGGGTCGAGTCTTTAGCCTGCTGGAGGAGATCCGTAACCACGTCCACGCTGACAGGTAAACTTGAAATTTGAAAAGTAAGTTAATGGAGCAGATACAAAGTATCATAAAGTGGAAATTCAAAGGTACAAGTACCTTTTGAATTTGGAGTTAAACACAGTAAAGTACCTCAGTAAATGTAGTTACTTTCCACCACTGTAGATGAAAAACCAGACGTTCATAATTCTGCTTAATGAACTCGAGACAATATTGAGTAACATGGTCATGGTCAGTATTTACTTTTTAATAAAAATATACAAAAAAGAAAAGCTGCAGATCCTCACATCCAACTAACCTTTCTTGAAACAATCACTTATCAAAACAGTTGTGAATTAATTAGTTTTTTGAATAATTATCCTTAGTGGTAGTGAAGACAAACTCAGTATTGAACTTTATCTCCCCTTTTAAAAAACAGTGGTGTCTGTCCTCCACCAGTTCAGAGTGAACCCATGAACCCAAAACTATTTTCACTTTTTCATGTGTGTGGAAAAAAAAGGAAAAAAACATCCATGACCTTGAGTTATGAAGAAGAAAGCTGGACTTCGATCAGTCATCGATCAGTTGTAAACCCTGAGGTGTGTGACTCTGTGGGGCACGTGCTGTGCAGCGATGCTCTGTTTGACAGCTGCACTGTCCTGAGCGCTGATATGAGGCTCATGTGTGGGACACTTTGTTGTTTTGCTGGAAAGCTGCAGAGAGCCGCTAAAGCTTTTCCCCCCAAGAGTCAGATTAATAGCACAGGACTTCTTTTGTGTAATTATCATTAAATTAAACATTAAAATTTAAGATAATTAATAGATTAATGTTGTGTCCTGCTTGGTGTCTGTGAGCTTTGTTAATAACAACTCCTCCTTCCTCTCACCTCCTCTCCTCTGTCTTCTCCTCGTCTCTCCTCTGTCAGCTCCGGGGTTCGCAGTCTGGAGACGTTATGTCTCCAGGTGACAGACCTGTTTCCAGGGTTACGGCGGATGCAGTCTGTGCTTCCAGAGCACGGCTGCCTGCTCGTCTCTCCCGGCAACTACTGGCAGAACCAGCGGGAGCTGTTCGACTCGGACTCCGACCTCCTCAAGACCATCCAGAAGCACGAACCCAAAGGCCTGCACACCTCGGCCACACTGCGAGGTAGGTAGAGATGAGGACTACTGACACGCTAACGGACAAAATCAAGCATTCTGGGATATTTAGTCGAAGGGAGAAGATATGACTTAAGTTTTGTGACTTTTAAAGTTCTTAGAGACGAACAAAAACAGCACTTTTTATTCTAAAGTCAAGAAAAGTAAAGTTGACGTTTTTGTGCTTCCATTAAAAATTTGAATCTTTCACTTTTTCTAAATCCTCCTGATGTTTTTGTGTGTGAATCTGTTCTGAAAGGCTCGATTTTTTAAGGCTGAATTCATGTACAGTATTTCTAACAGATGATGAACCTATTTGAACTCCTCACTTAGCGCTGGTGAACATCATCCACCAGTACAATACATGTGTTGTTGTCAGACTGTTCCTAAAGGTTTTAAGACTTACTCGTGGCACCGTTTTTACATTTCTAGAAATTCTGACTCCTCTGGTTTAGCCTGCTCCCTGTCCCGTGCCGTGAGATTACCCACCAAATCCAGCCTGAACTGTAGGCGTTTTATCGTCTGGTGGAGGCAGCAAGTCTCAGAAATGTCAGAAGTGGAGTTTAGTCCTTTTATTCTCGACTGCCTCGTTGGAAGGAGCCTGCCATCATTCAGCAGGAGTAATTGTAGGGAGGTAGTGAGTGGAAGATTAGTGGTATCAGCAAACTAAGAGGCTTTTATGTTGACGGAGAACATGCAGTTTCATTTCCTTGGGAACTTATTAAATTCCCTGAAAACTTTACCCACTGACATAGTGAACCACATCAGCGTCCCCTGGCTGCTCAAAGCCAGCTCAGCGTTCTGCCTCAACCTCCGGCTCAAGTGATAGAGAGGTGGGAAGCTTATTCTGGAGCTGGAGTCAGGGACAGCTTGGCTGCCAGATACAGTCAGACTGATACCGTTGTTCACACTGAGCTGACGGACGGCCAATCGCACTGCCGTGGGAAAGTTGTGAAGTATATCCCAGCAGCCCCAGCCTCCACAGGGCACCCAGTGTGAGTGTAAGATTAAAAAGGGAAGATGTGAAATTGAGTTGTTAGTTTAGCATTTCTGCAGATGATCTGATATCGGCACAGAGATCTCAAGCTTTCTAAAATAACAGTGCTGGCTTGTGTTGATCAGGTTTTACACAAGTAATACACTGTAGTAGCAATGCCAGTGTTTGACAAGTGACTAATGGATGAATAAATAACAACAACAAAAATTGTTATTTGCACTAATGTGTTGCAGTATGTGTGTGTGTGTGTGTGTGCGTTTTGAGAATTATTAATTGTGTGTGTGTTTCAGACCTGCTGTTTGGCGTCCCTGGAAAGTACACAGGTGTCAGTCATTACAACAGGAAGAGGGTGGTGACGTACACGATCACTGTGGTGTTGTCCAGCTACGATGCGAGGTGAGTCACATGTGCAGTGTAGCTTGTTAGTGCAGGTTCAATTGAATTTGAATAGATAGAGAATGAAAGAGTCGCATTTCTTTTGTCTTTTTTGTCTTTCAGTGTTTTTCCCTTTTTATGTCGCAGTGTAAAGAAGACTGACTTAACGTAAAGTCGGCTGTGATAAATGCCTTTGTTTGTAATTACATTTCTTTCAGGGACATTTTTCTTTACATGTCCCTAACTGGTTTGTTTTCCTCTGAAGCTGCAGGCTGTGTTCATTATGGCTGTGTGCTCACTATGACTTGTGTAGCATATAGATTCCAAGGCTTAGTTTAACAAGCTTTACTTTAGTCTCTTCTCACTGCATTATAGACTATGAACTATGAGGTTAAGTGCTGGGTTGCTTGACTGAGCTTCTCTTCTTTTACCAGAAGTTTTTGACAGGTACAAATTTAAAGGGTATTTGGTCTGACAAAATCAGTCAGTGGGCTGGATCTGCAGTGCTGCTGCCGCCGCCGCTGCTGATGATGATCTTGATGTCTGTGTGTGTCCAGGTTCCTGAGCAGCCTGCGGGCGCGCCTGAAGCAGCTCCACCCGTCAGCCAACTGCAGCCTGAGAGACGACCACATGGTTCACGTCCACTTCAAGGAGGAGATCGGCATCGCTGAGCTTATCCCGCTCGTCACCACATACATCATCCTTTTTGCCTACATCTACTTCTCCACACGTCAGTCCAACTCCCTGTCTCTCTGCTCTGTGTATCTTCTTCCAACATGACTATTTCTTTTTTTTCCCCTTGTTTGCACAACTCCCATCGCTCAATCTTTGAATGGTGCCAAAGATCCAGACTCATGCATGCTGCAACCTTTGTATGTGCACGTGCGTTTGTGTGCCAAGGTTGTTCCTGTCTGGTGCAGGGATAATCCTCACACAGGAACATTGTACACCGCTGCAAGAATGCACCCGGCTAACACCTCAACAACTTGCCAGTACAAACATAAGTTCAGGCAACACACACACACACACGAGAAGTACACAAAATTAATATTCACACTCAAGCCGATTAGTCGATTCACATATGGGACCTTGTTCAGCACATTTTTTCAACTTTTTTTCAACTGTAATTTGAAAAAAATAACCAAAACTTTTGTTGTAACTGCATTTTTTTGTCATTTTACTTCCATTTATTTAGATTTTTAACATGTTTACTTACAAGTTTTTTTATTTTCTAGAATATTTTTTCTTCCTTTTTGCTTGTCTAGCTTTAAATTACACTCCCTTTATGTTAATCAGTTGCAAAGAACATTGTGTAGCTATATCAGGGATTTCAGAATTAGTATTTGAATGCAAAACCTTCTTAGACTTTTTGGCCAATGGAAGATTTCACAAGGTTAATTAAGTCTTAAAATATTTTTGTGTATTTAATGGTGAATTAGTCTCTTTAAAAAGGAGAACGTCTGTCCTCACGACTGAGGTGTTAAATACTTACAATAGTTAATGTAACGGTTGTGTATGTAGTTACAGTGTCCTGCCTTTAACGTGGCTCCTTTGCTCCCTGCAGGTAAGATTGACATGGTGAAGTCTAAGTGGGGCCTGGCTCTGGCTGCTGTGGTCACGGTCCTCAGCTCTCTGCTCATGTCTGTGGGGCTGTGTACACTGTTTGGACTGACACCCACACTCAATGGAGGGTAGGAGTGCCCTCTTTTTTTTCCCCCACATACTAATGTTTTGGAAGATTATCTGAGAGATTTAAAAATCCGTCCTAGGTAGTTAGTTTGTCCGTCTATCAGCGCTAAACCTAAACACAGATAAAAGTTGAGAATTTGTTTGTGAGATTTAATTTTTTGCCAGCAAGAAAAAATTGCTTTGTAGCTTTAAACTGGAAGCAAAAGAATGTGGAGACGAAAATATCTCAGCAATCACTGGATGGATTGATATGAAATTTTGTGCAGACGTTCATGTTTCCAAGAGGATGAATCCCTCTGACTTTAGTGATCCCCTGACTTTTCCTCTAGCGCCACATGAGGTTGACATTTTTTGGTTTTAGTGAGACGTTCAGACAATTATTGAACGCATTTCCAGGAAGTTTGGTACAGATACTCATGATGTTAAGTTAAAATCTTAATTTGGTTTATGATCAAATACACAGCTAATGACATTTCCATCAAGCTCAGCTGTACTTCGAGTTTAGTGCTAGTTTGTAAATATAAGAATGCTAACATGCTAAAGTAAAGTTAAATGGTGAACAAGATACATTGTCATTGCGTGCATGTTAGCATGCTGAGGATTCAGTTCAACCCACCTCTGTGTTGCTAGCACGGCTGTAGACTCTTTGTCTGGTTGTCAACATGTATCTTACAACTTGTGTCGCACATGAACTGTTCTTCAGTAGAAACCAGAACAATTCAGTCTCATAAGTCACAGAAAATGAAATGAATTTAGCTTCTGGTTCAGAGTTGAAAGAATTTCTTTATGTGCTGTTAAATCGTCCTCATCATGTCCTCTGTTACTGACATTCAAACGTATCCTGTTAATATTTACTGCCCCAACAGGCCGTTACTGTTTCATCATTATCTCTTATCTTATTCACAGAAAGCCCAGAACATGTCTACCTACACTAACACACACACACACACACAACACACACACACACACACACACCAGCTTATTGATTTCCCATTTCCTGCATTGACTTAAATGGATTGGCGTTAATGTTTATAGCAACTTGGCAAAAAGTCAGTGGGTTAGTGTGAATGAAAAAGAAGAGATGGGGGGGGGGGGCATGGAAGTGGGTGGGGCCACGTGAAGGGGCGGGCATATAGCGATGTTGACATTTTATGGTCGTCCAATGATTTCAGGAATATTAGAAAGCAGACATCGTGGCGTGATAACGGCACACTGTTGTCCAACCACTGACCACGATCCACGCAAGTCCGCTGTGGGCGGTGCTTGTACCGTGTGTGTTTGCAAAAACACACATCAAGGCTGACACAACCAAGCTATGCAAACTTCACATCCAGGCTGGATAGATAGTGGTTGTGTGTGTGTGTGTGTGTGTGTGTGCACGTGCGTGTGTGTGTGATAGGTAACTGTGTTACTGAGTGCCTCTGATGTAACGTGCAGAGCTGTTGACTCCTCTGTGACCCAGTTATACACTTACTTCTATAGCGCAAGCTTATCTCTACGCTCACACTAATCTCTCTCTGCTCTCCACCACAGAGATATCCCCGGCAGACAATTACCAAATATCAATAAAGAATTCTGAACATAGGAAAATAAAAAGCTCACCTTCACTGTCACTGTGACCGATAAATGACATGATTCACTCGACTTTACTGTCAGTTAACATTGATGGTTACACAGTTCATTCAAAAGCAGCACGGCTTCTGGAGGATTGCGTCGTTGTGGGTGACACACAGTTTTGAAAAGAAATTGATTTCACACACGTACACAAAGTCCAGAAAATGAATATTCACTTTCTTAAAGACTTTTATTTGAAAAGCTAAAACTGTGCCTGAGTACCAACAGTTATCTCCAAATTCAATCCCATTTCAATTCACACATTTCAATTGCCCTTTTTTTCCCCCACTGAATAAATTATATTCCTCTTTTGCTTGTATCAGAAATGCAGCATCTGAAACACCATTTCCTTATGTAAATCAAACATGGAGTTTTACAATATAGGGATTTTCAGAATTAGTATTTGAAGAGAGTTATGAAGGTTGAGATATCTATGATTAATTAAAAGTGTTTAGATCAAGTTCAGTGTTTTAAAAGTTTATTCATTCTGGTACAATGTTGAATCATAAAACCTACATTCTTCTTTGAGCTCTTAAACAGCATTATTGTTTCTCTCTCTTGTTAAAGAGGGGGATTAAAACCACAACCACCTCAGGGAGGAAAAATCTTTCCACCAAACTCAGCTTCCCCCTTTGCCCTCCTTGCTTGTTGTTCCTTGTAACGTTGATGAAGTGAAACTTGCTTCTTTTCTTTTTTCCAGTGTGTAACTGCTCTGCTGTTTCCTCTCTGCAGGGAGATTTTTCCTTACCTGGTGGTGGTGATCGGCCTGGAGAACGTCCTGGTTCTCACAAAGTCCGTGGTCTCCACACCCGTTGACCTCGAGGTCAAACTCCGCATTGCTCAGGGTGAGGACAGGAGTGTGTGTGTTGACCAGCTATTAGTTTCTGACTCATATGATTTTCTAGTAACCACCAACTAGTTATTGCTGTTGTTTTCTGAAGGCGCTTACTTCGCTTTTGGAGTGTGTTACTTCATAAACTGGCATATTAATTATCTGGTCTTTGTTTTGTTTGTTTAAACGTTGCTCTGTCTCTCTGCAGGCCTCAGTAATGAGAGCTGGTCTATCATGAAGAACATGGCCACTGAACTGTGCATCATCCTCATCGGATATTTCACTCTGGTGCCAGCTATCCAGGTAACGGAAACACGTTTTGAATCGTTCAACCAGCAGAAACAATGAATAGGAAATAACAGTGGGACAGAAAATAAATAACAACATGCGGCATGAAAACAATAGGGGGAACTATGAGAACATGAAAAGACACATTTCTGTTCCCACCAGGTTTTGTGAGTCCTACTTGTAGAACGTGACAAAATATTAGAGCTAACTCAGAACTGTTAGCAGCAGGCTACTGTGTGAAGCTAGCTAGCTGTTCATCACACCACTATGCTAGCACGTGATTAGCTCATTAGCCTGTGCAGTGGTCTGATGTCTCCGTTGGTCTCTGTGTTTTTTCAGGAGTTCTGTTTGTTCGCTGTCGTGGGGCTGGTGTCTGACTTCTTCCTGCAGATGTTCTTCTTCACCACAGTACTATCTATAGACATCCGCCGCATGGAGGTACGAACTCACACACACACACACACACACACACACACACACAAACACACATACACACTCGCACATCTGGCTTATAATTCTTGAGGGAATCAGTGTGATAATCAAAGACAAGAATCTGAAACCTTAACACAAAGAAAACATGGATGTGGGTCTGACACACACACACACACACACACACACACACAACCTTCCTCATGAGCCGATACAGGATGTAAAAAGGGGGTCAGGTGGCGGTCACAGGCCCACATACATTCACCACATAGTTTTCAGATTAGCGGTTTCCCACATGTGCACTTCTCATTTAAAACCCCTTAATGTTCTACTGTTGGTCCTCTCTTCCTGTCACACACATACTGAAACCTTTCACTGGTGTTTAGCTCAGTTTCTGGCTAAATCAGCATTAACACCATAAACCCATACATTTCCATACACAGCAAAACACAATGAAAGTACTCTTAAACCCTTAATACTTTGACGGATATGTGGTTTATGTAAAATATGTAATTAATGGCTGTAGCATTACCATTTTTCTAATTGTTTACAAGATTAAATTGCTTGTTTTTTTCCAACTAATGGTCCCAAAATCAATGTATATGCCATGTTTAGTGATATAAAACACTGGAACGTAGCAGGTACTTTGGAGAAGCTTGACCCAGATGAATGAGTTTCACACTTGGCGGCAGAGAAGAAGGATGAATCAGCTGATGTTGTTTTTGGCAGGAATCAAACTCCTCCCACTGTTTGGCCTCAGATCTTCACGACTTTGAGTAGAAAATGTGTTTAAAAACCATTTCGCGTGAACAAATGTCTAAAACATCATCATTCCCCTGCAGCTGGCTGACTTGAACCGCCGCCTGCCGGCCGAAGCGGGGCTGCCTCCGCCCAAGCCGGGCCCGCTGCGTACACGCGAGGTGCCCCCTCCACCGCGACCCTCCCCCCACACGATCACCCTGCAGACCCCGGCCTTCAGGAACCTGAGGCTCCCCAAGAGGCTGCGCGTGGTGTACTTCCTGGCCCGCACACGCCTGGCTCAGCGGATCATCATGGTGAGAGATTTGTCTTTCCCTTCTGCGGCGCTTTGCGTGTCTGGACTCGTCGTGTCACCAACCGATCGTTAACATTCATTTTGTTTACTTTCCAGGTTGGCACGGTGATCTGGATCGGCATCCTCGTCTACACCGACCCAGCCGGGATCCGCACCTACCTGGCCGCGCAGGTATCTGAGCAAAGCCCTCTGGGAGATCCCGGAGGGGGCGGCCTGCCTCCTCACCTGGGTGTGGCCCCCGTCTTCCGTGGAGGAGATCCCACCAGCACCCTCAGTATCCACCCCGCGCCGGATCCGACTCCCTTACCCGAGAACCAATCACAGGGCCACCACGGCTCGGCCAGGGCGGGGCCCCTCCCCCAGCCCCCGCCTGCGGTGCCTCAGATCACCTGGGGGGCGGAGGACGAGGAGGGTTGGAGGAGACTGTCCTTCAGGCACTGGCCGTCACTCTTCAGCTACTACAACATCACTTTAGCCAAGAGGTAAAATGGAAAAACAATGTCCATTTTTTATTTACGAAAAGCAAAACGGAATGAAAAAATACTTTAAAACTATAATTCTGGGCCCATTAAAAAAAGGTTGACGCCATTCAGACACACAAGGGGATAGACTAAGACACAACCATGCAAACTACAATAACCAGAAAGCACGCCAGCATAGTGCTACACCATATTAACTGAGGAAAGGTACTGAAACAAATAAACTCAAACAGAACTGTCAAAGTATTAATGAAAAAAATCACAAAAATCAAACTAAAAGACACTGGCCCGTCCCACGGTGCTGGAGGAACATGGTGCAGTCCAAGTAGTAATCAGCCCCATTTAAGCAGGTCTGATGGAGCTGGGACTCCAGCAGCAGCAACCCCCAGGAAAGTGAACTAAATGCATACACTTCAAATAGAAAACTATACTGTCAGATATTGCTAATAAAACTGTACGTTATATCCAACCAAAAACCTGTGTGCAGTTATTTATCTGTTTGTATCTGGACACTCTGAGTGTCATGCTGAGAAAGAAAGACTCTTAAAGTAAATTAACAAATGAAAAGAGTTACCGCTGTTCAGTGTGTGGCTGCTGGTGCGGCCATCACAATCACTCACAGTGTTGTGAACTTTTTTAATTTAAGATTTAAAGTTGTTTGTTTTGTTTTTTTTACCCCAAAACAAATGAGTCTATTTAGATTGACAAATAACTGACAAATGACTGATTGGATGTGATAACTGGGTCAAGATTACATCAATGAGCATAAGCTCATTTACAAGATGATTTCCTCCTTTTTTAAATCCCTTAAAATCCAATTTTATCCAAAAAAAAAAAGATTAACATATGGTTTAATTTACATGACTGCTGCTAAGGTTGGAAAAATCAGCTTATTCCACATTGTTTATATATTTATGTATTATGTGTCATGTTATTCCAGCTGTTCATTGAAGCTTTACGATGTGAAATATTCAAACTCGAGTAGATTTTGTTCTCAGCAGCAAAGATGAGGCCGTGCAGTAACAGGAATCACTGATGTGATCGTTTCTATCTAATGACCCAACTAACTACCCTAAGATGGGGCATAATCAATAAATTCTGAAAGGTTTTAATGATGTTATAAGCCAGAAACATGTTTTCAGGTTTTGTGACAGTCTCTCTGCTGCTGTTTGTCCGTTTCCCAGGTACATCAGCATCCTGCCCGTCATTCCCGTCACCGTTCACCTGAGCCCCCAGGAGGCCGTCGAGACGCGCCACCCTCAGGACACAAGACATCCTCCGCCATCCATTCCCAAAGTCTCTGCAGATCTACAGACGGACCTCACCCTGTACAAGTCAGTACTCCAACACACACGTACATACAGCACACACCATCCGCACACATTGCTCTACTGTCCTAATGCTTCAAGTAGGAAACAAAATCCTTCACGCTGTGGTGCCATGGTACTAAAGCTCTTAAAATGAGTCAGCCCTAATTAAAGAATATGGTTGTAAATATGCAAATAATCTGATCATTGACCAAAATATTTTTATTTTTTATCAGTATAGTTTTAATGGCTGATATAAACTCATGTTCTTCAGTTTATATCGTTTGTTCAGTGTCTATAAAAGTGTTCATCTCCTTTAACTCTCTCACTTCTTATTGTTTCACACCATGAATGAACTCTAACCAGGCTTTTGTTTTTACACTGATCAAAACAGTGTTGAAATGAAAAAGAATCTCTATAACCTGCTTTTATTGTTTGTTGTTTTTTGTCCTGCAGTGACATTTTTTTTTTTGCCATAAATTGATCAGTTTGGGGGAAAAAAAAAAGTTTATTTGGAAACTGCACCTTGTTTTTAAAGGCCACAGAACTTAAAGCTGTGTGGCCTTTGGGTGTTTCCATCAGGCTGTCACTGAACAACTTGTCCAGTGGACATTGAAACCTTTGTTGAAGTCCCCTCTGCAGCCGTCCTTCAGCTGCAGCCGCAGCAGTAAAGTAGAGTAGAGTCCAAGGTCATGTGGCGCTCTCACGTTTGTAACTAGCACAGATTGAAGGCCATCTCTTGACTGGGAACTAATGACACATATTCTGATAAATTACAATTTTTTTTTTTTTTTGCTTTCAAGTTGTCGTCACTGAAACGGCACAAGTTCTACAGAACGTGTGGGGAAACCTGTGTTTTCTTTCACGGGGTACAATGTTGAGAAATACAGTGTTATAGGAACCTTTTCTTTTATAATAAAAGATGTTCCATGTTTGACGCAGGGATGCATGTGCAAGTGTCAGTGTATCAAGTGTCACCGGAGTGAGTGTTATCTTATCTGATGCAAAAATAAAGACAGAGAGACAGAACAAAGAGAAAGGCAGGGCTCTTGTTATTTGTACCTTTAGCAATATTGACTCTCTGACTGGACCGGCCTGGTGGACTGGTTGCTTCGGAGACACCAGTCGATCTGTGGTGTAACAACAGAGAGGACGATGGTTTATCCTGTATGGTCTCTGAACATAACCAGAACAGTTAAACATACCAGTTGCTTAATAAATATTATTTCTGCGATTTGTTCGAGATGTTTCTTGACGGTTTTCCAGTTTTTCCTGCAGCTGAGTTTTTCCAGCTGCAGGGCAGCAAGCTTCTGTAAACGTGTCCAACATTTAATCTAATTTTACTTCACTTTCACTGTACTTGCCTCAGACTGTGTTGAGGGACTTTTTTCCTCTTTATAGTGACAGCTCTTTCTGTCACCACTCTAACAGTTATTTCTGGCTGCCGTGCAACTGCAAAACCTTCATGTTGGAAAGAGCGTTGCGTTACTGTGTTTTTATCGCCACTCTTAAAGTGATTGATGATCAGTGTCTGTTTTGGAAGCCTGTGAACTAGAAGGAACGATCTATATACTATATTTATCTTAACTTTGTTTGTCAGGGTTTTTTTTTTTAAAAGTTCAGTGTCATTTTCTACTGACATAACATTTTACAATTCATTTATCACCACACACACTGTCCCTCACTGCACGCCAAATCCCAGGGTCTGGAGTTTAGCTTTCAGTGAGCTGGCAGTGCCTTGTTGTGTAAGGCGGCGTGTTGTCACCCCTGACTGCCAAGTGGAAGGTTGAGTTCTTCGTTTCATCTCTGGACAGTAGATACGAAGGTTATCAGCCGGAGCTGGGTCAGGGTCGTGACCTTCACAGCGGGGGAAGTAGCAGCTGAGTTTATGGCTTGTTTAGATGACCCTGAGACGGAGAGAAGGCCAGTGTGATAAAGGCGAAAACATGCTGTTATAACGGGGTCAGAGCAGGTTGCAACACCGTGAGAGATGCAGGTTTGAATGTGTTCTTGTTGCATGCAAAGAAGAAAATCATGTGTAATGCTCCTGGCTGAAAACTGTATCAGTTCATCACAGTGTGTTATAGGTTGTAGCCTAAAATCATTTTTGTAGAACTTAATAACTTCAAAAAGTTGTCTAATTAAAGACTGAAATACAGATCAAGTGGAGCTGCAACGTTTATTTGATTAATTCGATCAAACATTTAACTGGCAACAGTTTTGATTATCAACATAATTGCCAAATACTTTCTGATTCCTGGCCTTTTCCTCTTCTAATCTGTTCAGGTTCGGTGGCACTGTGAAGAGTCTGTTGTCAGATTTTCCATAAAAAGACGGTGTGTGAGTTTCATCTGTTTAAACTGGGAACAGCCAGAACCTGTATCTCTGTAAATATTGCAACAAACATGTACACACACGGCCAAGCACTTCAGCCTCTTAAACACTGAAGGGACACAGTGTGCGTTCCCTTTTTCGGTAACATAAATGTATAATGATAAATAAATCAACCCTCCACGTTGTGCCAAATCACAGCTTTCAACAATTTTTTTTAATTTATTGTTAACACAATATTTCCAGGCACTGACTCAGAATCAGATTTCTGACTGTGTGTACGTGCTGCAGCTCCATATGCGGCTGGACAGGGTTGATGGAGCTCAGCCGCTGCCAAGATCAGGTTTGATTGGCTCTGGAGTCGAGTTTGAACCGGCCTGAACACACTCCAAGACCAAGACAGAGCTAAAACAGAGTGAATATTAGACTTACATACATCACGTGCAACGTTAACGCGACTCCAGATGAAGAATCTGTAACTGCTGGAAGAGTAAATGAGCAAACGAACTCATAATCACTTGTTTCCACATCATTCAACGGAAGTTAAATTACGTCTAGAAGATCAGATCATTTTGTTTTGCTCTGGAAAAGGCCAATGAATGAGCTTTTTATGAGTCTTATTAATTTTAATTTACAAACCCTAATTCATTTATAATTGAGCTTTGTGAGCATAAATAAACAAGTAATTCTTTATTCGGGCTAAAACTTAATTGTAAGTGTGATTGCCTGTTAAATGGCTGTGATTCAAGTCCAGACATGCAGCGTGTCACCTCCCAGCTCGCTCTCTGCTGCTTTCTTTTTCTATTTTGAACTGTAAATAGGCAACAAAAAAAGAATGAAAGAAAATGGTTAAAAACAATAAGAACAAAAACAAAAAAAAACCACACAACTCTCCATCTGAAGTTGTTTCTGAATGACACAGTGTGATGTGCGTTGGCAGGCTCCTGACATCGGGTCCTTGCAGCCTTGTCTCAGAACAGTTTTTATGGACTGGTATTTCAGGCAGAGTGGGGTCACACACCTCTGGCAGGTTTCATCGTCACAGCTCTGCCACATTCCTCTGCAGAGAGCAGAGCGGGCAGAGCTGCCGTGTGATGCTCACAGCTGTCTCTTGTCATTTTTTCCCCTTTTTCTTTGTGTTTTCTCAAACAGAAAAAGCTGAGCACCGTAAATTCAGCTTTACAAACACACATACAGCCAGTAGACTCATACTGTCCACAGCAGCTGGCTGTACAACAAATGCAATGCGAAGTGTGGATATGTACAAGTGTTAGAGGACGGATTCTTTCAAAGCTTATTTATCACGTTAATGGGTTTTTTTTCTGGCAGGATTTTGCGATGACACGAGCTGATGGGAGGAGTCAGGATGAGTTGTGAGGAGGGTGTGAAGGGTCCTGAGTGATGAATGTTGAGTGTAGAGATCTGAGATTGAAGACTGAGTGCGAGTGTTCATTTTATTATTATTATATTATTATTATTAAAGTCATTGTATTACAGTCATGGACTTGGTTGGTTGCACTGGGCAGTTACACAGTGTAAATGTGCATCATGGTATAAATGTCGACCATGGTGATGCTGCAGGAAACAAGCGTGTTTTAGTCCTTTTTGTTTTTGACTCCTCCTTCGTCCCTCTTCCCGTCAGGGTGGCAGCTCTGGGCCTGGCGGCGGGCGTCCTGCTGGTCCTCCTGCTCTTCTGTCTCTACCGCGTTCTCTGCCCACGTAACTACGGACAGAACGGCGTGGCCCACGGGCGCCGGCGCCGTGGGGACCTGCCCTGCGACGATTACGGCTACTCGCCGCCCGTCAGCGAGATCTCGCCGCTGCTGCTGAGGGGCCACAGCATGGTGAGAATGGAAATACATAACACACACCGCACACCCGGATCAGACTGGTCAGAACGACAGCTGTCCGGCATCAAACAACCTGCAGTGGAGACTTTGGCTGATTTAAAGCCTCTATGAATAAAATTTGAAAATTTCAGACTTTGCTTTTGGGGAAATGAAGACAGAGAAACGTTCAGTCTTTTCAAAGTCAGGAAAAAAACTGCACAATGATCACCTTGTGTAAATTTATTTCCAATCAGTAGGTTCAGTCACAGGGTGCTGGCACTAAACAAAAGAATTATCAAATGTAGGTTGTAAAAATGTATTTGTTTTCATCAGATCAAGTCAGTTTTGGTTCTTTCTGTCCTGCAGGACATCGAGTGTTTGGCCAGCGACGGGATGCTGCTGGCGAGCTGCTGCCTGGCCGGACAGATCCGTGTCTGGGACGCTCAGACTGGGGACTGTCTGACCGTCATCCCAAACCACGGGTGCGACAGTTTGTCCATAATTTATCAAGCCTTTTTTTAAAGTCTCCGTTGTTGACCGAAGCAAAAAGTGATTTCTGTTGCCGTCTGCTCCACACCCACTGATTTTATTATTTTATACGATTCATGTTTTCAGAGCTAAATATGTAAAAATAAGGATCTCTCTGATAACCCAACCAAGGCCAGTGTCTGTTTCTATCTTAATTTAGAAAATTCAGATAATGATAAAAAGGCCGATATTTGCTCGTTTATATAAACCCACAACATAAAGAAACATTTTTGACGAGGATTTCTTTAGATTATTATTTTATTCTTATGAAAGAATTGTGACAAAGATATGCACATTTTATATTTCATAAATAAACCTGTGCTCTCTCGTGGTTAAACTATGTGATGGTGACGTCAGTAGATATTTCTGTTCCCCATCAGCTCACATATATTGATGAATAATATCAGACAGATCCATTTATCTCTATAACTCTTATGATACGTAATATTTGATGAGGCCTTGTAACTAACACTAACTGAGTACTGTGTCTCGGTTTCAGGCTGAGGCGGAGCAGCAGCAGCAGTGGTGGCTGCTGGGAGCAGCGGGATGGCTGGGACAGCATGAGCGGCGCCGCAGACCCCGAGGTTTTAGGCTCTGAGGGCTGCGACCGCTCCATCGGCGGTGACGGCCTATCGGAGGACGAGGGCTACCCGCTGAGACGCCGCACCGCTCCCGCCCGGCCCACCCTGTTCACCGACCAGCCCGATCTCACCCCGCTCATCGACACCAACTTCACCTGTCAGCCGCCTTCGCACCTCTCCACGCCACCCAGGGCAGGGTTTGACTTTGGAGGTCTGGTGGAGCGCGCCTACATGGAGCACGAGCCTCCCTCGCCCTCTGCCTACCCCTCTCCTTCCTCGGCCTCTTCCTCGCCACCCTCAGGAGCTAAACTCCAAAGAAGACCCAGCTTAGGGGACGCCGCCGGCCCCTTAACCCAGGAGAGGGCCTCTTCAGCCGGGACGCAGGCGACGGCGGACTGGGAAAGCTCCGTCTGGGCCATGGAGCTGAGAGGAAATCTGATAGCTGCTGGGAGGAGCAGCGGTAAACTGGAGGTGTGTAAAATAATGTTTGTAAGTTTAGATTTGGACGCCTGAAGTGTTTGTTTGTACACAAAGCAAAAAAATGGATGATGATGATGATATTTAGTTTTGTCTTGTGTCCACTGTGTGTTTGGGTACAGAGATAACATTACACATACACCATGTGATAACTGTAAAATTACTGTCCACTTTACAACGGGTCTAAATGTGGTTACAGCTGTGGGATGCCGTGGAGGGGTCGTTACGTTGCAGTAATGAAGACGGCGTCTCGGGGATCACGGCTCTGGCCTTCCTCAACAACAGGTTAAACACACACACACACACACACACACACACACAGAAAAACACTTGGGCCGTTGGTGTGTTTGATGGAGATCTGAATGAGTTTTTGAAATGCTGGGTCTGGAGTTTCCGACTTTACCGCTGCTGTTGGTCGATATTTCATCACAATTTTTAAATGGAATTTTTCTTCATATATCACGAGCAGATTACATTAAAACTGTCTGGGGTATCAGCCAGTTGCCTCTAACCTAATTACAGCTCATGCGTACACCTGAAGTGAGACGTAACATGAATCCCTGCACCGACGGTCTCTGGATATAAGCTCAGTCTCACTGCACAGTGAAACCTGTTGTGTACTTGGTCCTGAGACGCCATGTTTCTCCTCTTCCTCCTCAGAATCGTAGCGGCTCGACTGAACGGGTCTCTAGATTTCTTCACTGTTGAGATAAACAAACCTCTGGGTCTGCTGCAGTACAGAGGTGAGACTCAACATCACATCTGTGTACAGATGTTTCACTGCCAAGTAGTGTTTTTATTTTGACCAGTGAGACTCTCTCATACACAGATAAAGTAGGAGAAGAAATGAGCCTGAAGATTCCCCGATACTTTATTGATAAGACTGCGTGTCCTCCTCCTGCAGGTGCCCCTGGGCGGGGCAGCATGCCTCCGTCTCCCTGTTACAGCAGCGAGGATGTGATCAGCCTCCAGCTCACGCGCTCCATACAGTGTGCTCACCAGAAGCCGATCACGGTGCTGCGAGCGGCCGCCGGGCGGGTCGTCACCGGCAGCCAGGACCACACAGTCCGGGTAACAGATGTGTTTCCTGTTTTTTTTAACCCAAGTTCCTGAGAAGGAAAAAAGCATCAGAGTCCTTGATCGTGTATATTTAGTTTCTTTAGTTTTACAACAGTTTAATCACATTCATGTTAAAATGCCAAATATATGACAAACTGATTAATAACAGTAAACATGACTCGATAAAGATGTATATGTATAAAACCTTACAGCTCCTCTCTCTGTGATTGTTTGTCAGGTTTATCGTCTGGAGGACTCGTGCTGCCTCTTCACCCTGCAGGGTCACTCTGGAGGGATCACAGCCATCTACATAGACCAGGTCAGTATGACACCCTCCCTACAAACACACATAATACGTATAATAAAATGCATCTGTCTCGGTGAAGCCTGTAGTGTCCTGCGGTCATGATTTCCTGTCTCTCTCAGACGATGGTTCTGGCGAGCGGCGGGCAGGACGGCGCCATCTGCCTGTGGGACGTCCTGACTGGGAGCCGGGTCAGCCATGTTTACGGTCACCGTGGCGACGTCACCTCGCTGGTCTGCACCACCTCTTGTGTCATCAGCTCAGGACTGGATGACCTCATCTGTATCTGGGACCGCAGCACTGGGATCAAGCTCTACTCTATACAGCAGGTTCTGTACATGTGTGGTCCGCTCTCATCTCTGATCCTTATATATATGATTCCCGACCTTTTTCTGTGACCTGTTAATACAGACTTTTGTCTTTATGCCCCGCCCATTCCTGTAATACGTCTAATATCTAAGATATACGGTAAAAAATAAAGCAAAGATTAGAGAGAAATGTACAAACTGTTTTGGTAGCAGAATATTAATTTCCTACCCTGGCCATTATCTTGCAAACCTTTATTTATCTAAAGGCCAGTCATATTCTACACTGTTGTTATTGTCAAATAATCCCATGTGAGGCCCGACACCTACTGGTTCTCACTGAAGACACACATGTTCAACAGTCGCCCACAGATGTATACTTCTGGAAAAAAAAGCTCAGAGGTTTTGAGAGCGAGAGTGAATATTCGGTGGGGACTATTTTCAGCTGCAGATGAATACATGTTCTCTGTGCTCTGGTGGGTGTTTCCAGCAGCAGGACGGTGTATGTGGGATTCAGTCCAAATAAACTACAGTGCGTGTGTTCATGGCGATGAAGGAACATGTGTCCCAGGTTAACAGTGAGGCTCACTGATGTGTTTTTGGAAACTGCATGAAATACATAAACTAGTGTAGGATACATACATGTTTGACTTTAGTCTCTTCATGGGATTTGTTGACAAGAAGAAAAACACAGGATATTGCCAGATTTATCCTTTAAAGAATGAACATAATCTACTCATCTAAAATCTATTAATGAACCTAATCTACCTTAATCTACTGTCTCCTTGGGTTTTTCTTGGGACTTCCTGGTTTATTTATTTGATCACCTCCATATTCAAGTGGAATAATTCTGAAATTTCACAGCTTCACAGGAATGTATTTTAGTTTTCCTAAAACGATTAGTTGATTAATTTATACACTGAGAAACACAAATGAATGCTGTCAGTATTTGATCAATAATTTAAGTCATTCATTCAGCAAAATGCCAAACGTACACTGGCTCCAGCTCCTGAAATGTGAGAACTTGATGTTTTTTCTTTTATATAATTGGAAACTTTGGTTTGTACGTTGGATGGAAAATGCAAACGTGTCGTCTTTGGCTCTGGGAGCTTGTGATGGAACGTGTAAATTCAAGATATAATAAAATAGAATAATCTCTATACTGTCCCTGGTGAGTTGGTCGACCTAACCTCTTCCTCTCTCCTCAACAGGAGGTGGGATGCGGGGCCAGTCTGGGAGTGATCTCCGAGTCCCTCCTGGTGACGGGGGGCCAGGGCTGCGTCTCCTTCTGGGACCTGAACTTCGGGGACCTGCTGCAGACGGTCTACCTGGGCCAGAGCAGCGACGGGCAGGGCGTCCGGCAGCTGCTGGTGCTCGACAACGCCGCCATCGTCTGCGACTTCGGCAGCGAGCTGAGCCTGGTGTACGTGCCCTCGGTGCTGGAGAAACTAGACTGAGGGAGGGATGGACGGCAAAGGTCGACGATGATGATGATGATGGTGGGAACACTCACTGAAAAAAAAAAAACATGCATCAGAACAACCTTTTCCTCTTCATCATTTCGACTTTCCCCCTTTCTTTTGCTTTTTTTTTTTGTTGTTGTTGTTGTTTCTGACACCGGGACGAGACACGATCTTTACATCACGGTTTCTTTGTGCACATGAGGCTTTTTTTTTTTTTTTTTATATGGGTGAGATGATTTAAGTGCACACCTGGATGCAATGAGGAAGGAAAATCTGAACACTGTGCAACCTGCTGCATTTTATCAGAGGACGGGGACAGGCCCTCCACACTGATGAGCTGACATTTAACGAGGGTCACGAGGTCCGTTCAAGAAAAGCTGGATGTTTCTCACCAGTCACCAGTTTGTGCTTTTCTTTTATTTTCTTTTTTCTTTGTTGGTGTGTGTGTGTGTGTGTGTGTGCAGGCGTGTTTGTTTTTGTGGCTCTGCCCTCTATGCTGCTGATACGGGTGGGGCTTCACAGTAACCCCCCCACCCGCCCAGAGAGGAAGATAAAACTGTCTCCTTATTTTTTAATATTCCTGCTGCCTCGTTCGCTCGAGAGCAGCGACGGCGAGCTCGACGGGTTTACAAGCCTGTTGGGATGAGCTGAGCAGTTATACATAAATGTGTGTGTGTGTGTGTGTGTGTGTGTGTATGTCTTGGAGATTGAATGAATGAATGAATGAATGAATTTAGGCCCTTTTTTATGGCAAAACTCTGCTGAGAACAAAAAAAGTGATTGGTTATGAGTGAGATGTGTGTGAGGGAGAAGTGATGATTACTGTATAAAGTGAACCTCCAGCGGGGGCTGTTTTTATATGTATAAATCTATTATTTATTAGCGGTACATTTTTGAATAACAGTTTGTTTATGAATGGCTAATCCTGGCTCTTAAACGAGAATTTAATAATGTGGAGATAAATGTAAAGATGGTGATTGTCTGGGTTGGGGCACTGGTTATCAAATGATTCTTCGTCATATTGAACTGGAAACACTGAAGTGTTTGTTTTTGTGAGGTAGGGGGCTGAAGGGGGAGAAGTTCCTCCTTTGATCCCAGCCTCGGCCTCTGATTCTGGGGTTACTGATGCTGTACGAGGGGCCCCCGTGTGGCCCCTCTCTCCCCCGTGTGCTACACCTTCATCAGGCTACCTCCATTTTACAAACTGCTTGAATTTTTGGACGACAATAGCGACGTCACCCTGCACAGGCGTCGTGTTTACATTGGCTACCGTTTTTTTTTTTTTTTTTATAAATTGTGCCCTTTAGAGATTCTTTTAAAAATCACGGTTATCTACAACTGGTTCAACTTTAACAGTTTCCATTTTTGCTACAAACGGTGACAAAAACTTACTTCACAACGTCCAACATCGGATCTCACAGTGCGTTTTCTAGTCATTACCATGTTGTTGATGCAGACTTGAGGAGCTGTCTTAGAAACCTGTTCACCTCTTTCTGCGGGTGGTCGGTGAAGATGTGGAGAAAGGCAAGTCAGTACATCCACTTTACCCACATAAAGACTTGGTGTCTCTTTAAGTGTAACATATAATATGCTCCGTGGCCCGGTTCTGTTAGACAGTGTTCAGAGAGAGAAGGGGGGGGGGGGGTATCATTTGACAAATTAACTACTGGATTGGATTAGAACAGCAATCATTAGTGGATTAATTGATCTACAGGGAACCCAACTATTTTGATAATCAGTTCATCCTGCAGGTCATTTTTCAAATGTGACAATTTGCTGCTTCTCCTTGTCTTACATGGTATTTCAAATGTTTTTGGACTGTCGGGCTTTAGTAAATTGTGTTGGAAATTTTCCGCTGTTTTCGGATGTTTTTATAGATCAAACAGATTAGAACACAACCGATGCTGAATTTTCAGGCCGATACCGATTTCAGGGAGTAAAAAAAAAGTTCCTACACGTGTGTATGGCGTGTCGTCAGGATAAGGAAGCAATGCTCGACCAGTTGAAGCTAAAGATAGTCTCTTATATAAACATATGTGCTGATACTGATATATCTGTGACAGTGAGCGTTAAACCCCCGTACTTGTGGAAATGTTTTCTATCAATTAGAAGATTGCTAATTGACATCCTCTAATTTGCTAATTGAGTTAGCGAGTTTCATAAAAAAAAGGTTCGTCAGGAGCCGGTTTCACAAAGACAGATTATAGTTTAGATGTAACAAATAGTCAGATTTCAGGTAGATGTCTAAATTCATCCATTGCACGAAGCAGTTTAGGCCTTGACCATCTTAAGCTGGACTGTAGTACAATGAATTCTGGGTAAATAAAGACTTTTCAAAGTTAAAAAAAAATGGCAGCTGAGCTCTGTTTACCCCAACAGAAAGTGTTTGTCTTCTGGAAGAATTCAACAATTACAAGGACGTTTTACTTGAAGAGTGAAACAATAAAAAGAAAAATCAGATTTTGGTCTCTAAAAACTCTTTCCCTTCTCTTTGCTCTCTTCATAACGATGTTAGTAAACCACAAATTATGAGCCATGTTTTTCCTTTATTTTGTCGTTGAGTGCTACTGGTCAGTGCCGGTGTCATTGCTTGTTACCATGGTAACATTGGGGCCTGAGTTAGCCTGGGGAAAAAGCTGTCTAATGTTGTTTTTTAGTTTAAAATTAGTCGGTCTTTATTTTTGTGACGCGGCCTTACCAACATTGGTCTGTTGTGTTGGTCCAGTCTTAAATTGGCTCATAGATCAGTCTAGTCTGAAATATCTTTGTGAAACTGGCCCCAGATGACTTACTTAAAGAAGAGGAGATAAAGATGAACTGCTCATGGTGTAATAATTGAGTAGTGCAGAGTTTCTCTAAATCCCTAAAAGTGAGAAAGTTCACACAGTAATTCTGTACACGAGTGGAAATCCAAGCTGCACGTCGTTAGATCTTATTTTAGTCGGTGCCTGAACTTCACCTCCTCCCTCTGGTAACCTGCTGAGAGAATGTAATCCTCCAGCTTTAAGACTTCTCCCTGTTTGACACCAACAACATCCAGAATGTATTTTCTCCAAATCATCCACCATCTACTGTATCTGCGTCTGTTGAATGTAGTCCCCAGAAGGTGTGACCAACAAACCTGTTAAAAAAAACAAAACAAAAAACAGCGACTAAATCCTTCACAGTATCGCATCGCAACACTAATTCAATGCACTGTTAACCCTCTCTGACGCATATGCTCACACACACTTGGCACAAATGCGAACATCAGCTTACGCACAGGAAACGTGGACGTACAACAAGTAGACATGAAAACCAAGTTCACACTGAAGAGGGTCACAGGTCTGGTTTCACAGGGATGCAGCATCAACTAGTTTCTGTTCTGCACAAAACAAGCAGCTGAAAACGACAACTGTTGACCTGCAGTGTCAGTATTCACATTGTATACATTTAGAGATACCATTCATTCAGCAGGAAGCAGACCTGTGATCTCCCTGGCTCTGTAACCGTGTTAATGTTTTAGCTTTGTGTTTTCTGTTGTTAACGGTAGTCGAGAGAATTTTAGAAACGGAACAATGTGTAGCTTTTAGATTTTGCCTTTTCAAACTTCTTGTTTTCTAGCAATGTGAATTTGAGTTCAAGCTAAAGTTAGACACTTTGGGGAAAAAAATGTTTTATCTACTTCCCGGGAGAGAGTTAAACGAGGAGATCAAAACCACACTGTAATGCAAAGCTAACGGTTCCAGGTAGCAGCTGGTAGGTTAGCTTAGCACAAAGACCAGAAACAGGAGGACACAGCTAGCCTCTGTCTTTGCCTCTCATGTATACGTATTCATTCAGCTCACAGAGGTGACAACTGGTTTCTCTAAAAGATAATTGACTGATCTAATGTTCTTAAAGTGTTTTCAGAATCCTCAAAGACTCTTCTAATCATCTGGATGAAAAAATATTAAGTCTGCTGCTCAACAATAAAGATTTTTAACTCCAAGTTACAACCCTGTGTCCTGGCCAGGCAGCCAATGAGCAGCCATCTTTGTTTTGATCAGGAAACTGCGGCACAGAGTTAAAAATCTTTTTTTTTTTCTTTTTTTTTATCACAGCAGCAGACTGAATATTTTTTCATCCAGATGATGAGAAATGTCTTTGAGGATTCAAGAGATGACTTCTGAACAACTGTAAGAGCTTTTAAAATGACGTTGACCAAATGACCAAAACATCACTGGTTAGTTATCCTTTACAGAAACCCGGACATGAATATATGCAGATACATGAGAGGCACTAACTGGGGATAGTAAACAGCTAGCTCGGCACTGTTGAACAAAATCTAATTAACCTAACAGAGCTTTCATTTGTTTAATTAATACAAAACCTAAAGTGTAATATTTTATTTTTATGTTTTACAGGGGTTATATAATGGACTTTTTCTTGGTCTGACCAGTTGCCAGGCAACTGTAACGTTATTAGTCGCAGCCAAGAACTAGCCAAGCACAAAACTCAAAACTGCAAATTCTCATTTTTACATTTGAGAGTTTATTCAAATTAAAGCAGCATGTTAGCATTTAGCATAGCTAGGCTAGCTGTTTTCCTGTTTGTAGTTTTTGTTATTCACTTACCAGCAGGTGTTACACTATTTTCTGTTAAAGTCTGACTGCATGGATGTTACTCTGGTGGTTGGAATTACTGACATCAGTCAAAATACATGACAATATTTAGTTTCCAGGCGCAGTAGGTTTCTGAAACAAGTCTTCAGAACTTATGACTGTTATTCTGCTCTGCTTCTATTGACCTATACCTGGACACTGCTGCATTCAGTACTTACCAGGTACGTGAGATTTCTCTCACCTTCATGAAAGACTGAGTAACACCACACAGCTCTATCAGGGGTCAACAGAAGCACAGCAGAATGAAGGTCAAAGTCTTCAGAACTTGTGACCCTAATGTGCCTGGAAATTGTTGGTCTTCCTTCCCACCAGGTTCACACACTGAATATGCAACAACCACGTATACAGAGTAACATCCATGTAGCAGCGTCCATGAATATGGTGTCACACTGGCTACAACTTCATATGACGCAAGAGTGCTGTCAATCTTCTCACTCGGTGAACTGTCTGCTAGAAAGTGAATAAAATAATTTCCCTAAATGTTAAACTATTCCTTTAAAGGAAGGAGGGAGGGTCGGTGTAGCAATTTCAATTGAATCTTAGCTTCTTATGAATGTTTTGGTTCATTGCATATGGACTTGGCCTTGTAACAATCCATATCCAACAGTACTTTGTGAGGTCATGAATACGGTTTGCCCAGTTTATTGAAGTAAACCATGCTTGTTGTTGCTGTTCAGGATCAAACATACCTTTTCATCCTGTTGCTTTCACTCGTGCAGCTCTCACTGCACCATATCAGGAGTCTGTGGTTGCAGCCTTGACCTCCATTTCTCCTTTTGAGTTGTTAAAGCAGGGAAGAAAAAAAAGGAACGATTGTGTGGCAGCATCTTCACAATAAAAAGGCAGAAATCAGATATTTGAACACATGGTGGTCCACATCTGATCCTCCACCAGCTGCCTGAACCAGGAGAAATCATAGTCTGTGTTATTTCTCACGGTTTAGACCTCTGTCAGGAAAATCAGAGCTGTGACCAAAAAAATAAATAAATCTATAACTCCCCATGTCTGCTCCTTTCCCCCCCTCCAGCCTCCTCCCTTCATTGGCAGGCTACAATCTACGCAGGCTGTAGTAGTGGAGGTAACTTATTTACTATTTTGTAACACAAAAAAGCGCAAGACTTTGTACTAATTTTCAAATAAAGAGGCTTTGATACCACACAGTTGTCTGTCTACTGGATTTATTTGATCTTTTTTACAATAATGAATGATTAGTGACATTTTTTTATTTTTGGAATACTAACTTTATTTAAGATATTTACAGTGTTACAGACGAAGAAAAAAATCAAACTTGTTAAGACGTGCTGATTTGTATGATGCTCGGTGTTACCATGACGACTGAGTACACGCACTGATTGAATTGGAGGGGTGTGTGTTTTTTTTTTTTTGTGTCTTAAAAAATAGCTCCACCCAGCTCCTTCAGCCTGTCTGCTTCAGCTCCACTCATCCGTTATTGCAGACATTAAAACGATCGCAGACCAGCGCAGAAGGGAGCAGCCGAACACTGTCACTACCTGGTGATGCCTTGATGAGACTGTGATAATGGAGTGCATGCTGGGAGTTTTTTTTTGTTGTAGTTGTTGTCGTGCCCAGATCTGGTGCTGGAAGTGCAGAACAGGTTCCATCCATCACATACATGTAAAGAAAAGCAGCAGAAAAGCGACAGGAGGAATGAACGGATACGAGACGAGTGCATAGTGATCTGGTCCCAGAAGCCGCCGGTGATGGAAGGAGAAGCGAGTGTGTTTGTGTTTCAGTGGAAATTCACCAAACTTCAAAACTGAACCCCTACCATCTGCCACCAGGCACATCTTGGTAATCTACACCGCTAACACGTCACCAGCTTTCCCAGGATTCAGCGTGTTTTTTTTCTTAAAAGCGAGATTAGAAAGCTACAGGCCTCCGCGACGCCTGGTGGTGGAGTGAGACAAAGGCAGCGTGCCGTGGACTCGTCTCAGTGCTTGTTGAGGCTCCAGAGTGGGTCCAGGCTACTGAGCGGGTCGTCACCTTTTTCCTCTCGAGTCCCGTGGAGACCCTGACCCTCTGCCGGCTGCAGGAAGCTCTGTTTGGTGACCCGCTGCTTCCCTTTCCCTCCTCCCTCCATGGAGAAGGCCTCGGGCGTCAGCGAAGCCAGCAGCTCCAGAGACGAAGGAGCAGGAGCAGAGGAAGCAGGAGGCGGGCTGATGCTCGGCGCAGCCTCTGGGACCGGCTGGTGGTTGGCTGCTGGAGGGGAAGGGGAGACGGCATCCAGGCCGTTGGGTGGGGGTGGAGAGTGGGCAGGGGAGGAGAGAGGCGGGCTGAAGGAGGAAGGGGGTTGGGCGTCTGTAGGGTGACAGGGGTCCTGGAGCGGCTGGATGTCGCCCAGAGAGTCGAGGTCAGGTAAGAAGGTGCCGACCTGCTCCTCCAGGCCACACTGGGCCTCCATGGCCGGGTCTGTGGCGCTGGGCGGCCGGATGCTGAGCTTGGCGATGGTGGCTTGGATGGAGCTGATGGGCATGTCGCCGCCGAGGACGATATCCTGCTGGGACTCCTGTCTCAAGTAAGGCTGCAGGGAGACGGCGCAGAGAAGAGAGAAATGTTCAGATTGAAAAAAAAAACAAGACAGAAGAGACACTCAGGGAAATGAAAGAGCCTCTAACTACTGAAGTGACAGCAGTACCTCATCAGACCAGAACTCGTAGAATTCCTTCAGAACAATCAGGTGAGCAGAACGGAAGCAGATACATTCAACATCAAAGCTCAGATGGAAACGGTTAAACAGACTGGAGCTACCAGGGAACAAAGATTCAAACACTACACTAGGGTCATTCTACTGCTCCATCCTGCTTCTACTTCTTCCTAACGGTGGACATTTTCAATTACACGTGTGAAGTATAACTTTAAAGGGTTAACAGTTAACACAAATTACAAAAAACATTTTAGTTTCTGGATTTAGGTGACTATGATTTGAAATGATCGTCTACAATCTAATGTTTTGTTGGTGGTGCTCATAACATTGGAATATTTGTGTGGAAAAAAAATCAATAGCCACATCTGTTCCAGATGTTTTGTTAGCTTGAATTAAGGGTAAAAAATTTGATATATAAAATAAATGAAAGTGCCAAAATGAATTGATAATGAAATTTGTTCCAGTTCCATTTACCTGTGACTGTAATTAACAACATGCATGTCCAGACTACTAAAAAAAACAAACTGTCCATTACTGGCTTTTCATTCTACCAGCGAGCACCTGAACATAAGCACAGGAAGGTAAGTACATGATATCTCCTGACTTTACAAGTTCACATGGAACATCTGAACATTCAGTTAAACGTTGAACTGGCTTTCACTGGATCACTGGGACACTGAGGGTCAGTTCAGTTCTCAAACAACACTTTGTGGTGAGTTTTCAGAGTACACACTGAAAGCTTGCAGGGCACAGACGCTGGCGAGTCCAAACCCCAGTGTCACTAAAGCTATTTAACTGTCTAGTGCACCTGGAATGAGTTCTGGACCAGAAGAGTGACAGACCTTTGTGGCTGCAGAGTTGGTGTTCTTGCTGCAGGTGGCAGTAGTGATGCCGTGGCGCTGCAGGACGTGCTCGGCGTGTTTCAACACGGCCTCATAGCAGAACTTCAGGTGGAGCTGGAGACGAGACGCGGAGGAGGAAGTTCAGTGACGACACATTCATCGCAGCAGGTGTTTCAGTTTATTCATGTGTTTTATATGTAATGTTAATTTTATTGTGTGTGTTGTTATTTTTACAGCAAGAAAACCACAGGATTCATCTGTGACAGAGCAGCTGTGTTATCAGCACAAAGTGTCTCAACACACTGCAGTCACCTTATTAACACTATCTCTAAATTATTATTCATATCATGTGGGAAGCGGGACATCTTGGAAATGCAAATCAAATTAAAAATGTAAGCGAGTGAGCCTCATCTGCTGAACATCTGGAGTATGAAAACTGCCTAGTGTAATTTTTAACTTCTAACATGAATCACATATTACCCTCAAACACAACAGCAGATTCCTGTGTATCTGACCTTCTCCTGCAGCATGTTCTTCCTCTGCTGCCTCATCTTCTTCACCAGCAGTGGGAGGTCTGGGATCCCGTTTCCCGCCTCCAGCTCCTGCAGAGCGGCGTACAGCAGACAGAACGCGCCGGTGCGTCCGACGCCCGAGCTGAGGCAGAAAAACGTACAGCCTGATTAACCACACTGACCCTGAGGCACCTACCGCATCACTGAGGAGGTAAGGTGAATATCAAGTAACAAAACCCACTGGTGCACTGAAATCTGCAGGGATCAAATGATAATTTTAAAAACTGGAAAACTACATAATGTATAGAAGCGTCTGTAACAAACTCAGCCTGATGTAGTTTGATTCTTAGCTTATGGACAGTGCAAAGAATAAGATCTTATTGATTTACTAGATTTTAGTTATTTTTGCTTTGTTCAAGTTGTTTAGGTTCATTCTGGATCAAATCTTCTATATTATTGTATAAGAAATGTATTTGTAATTTTATGACTGTGTTTGTTTAATTCTGATTTGTGGCACATTTAGTATCATTTGCCTCATGCTGTTATGTTGCTGTGAACCCTTTGACTTTATTAACTGATTGACTTTATTCATTAAAAAAGGTCAAAAGGTACAAAACAGTGTTACAAGGTCAAAAAGGTACAAAACAGTGTTACAAGAAATGAAGTTGAAATCTTCCCACCAATTACTCCTGTGTTGGCCATTGAGGTTAATGCAGGCGTTTCTGGGTTGAGACCAGTTGTCGGAGGAACTCGTATCGTTGTGTTGTGTTGTGTTGTGTTGTGTTGTGTTGTGAACGTGCTTGTGTTTCTGGTGAACTAAACATTTCCGTTGGCAACCTCTCGTGATAGTCCACGACACTCACACACCACAGGGTGGCAGCGATGCACCGCAGAGCTGTTTGCTGACTCCCTGGTCTTAGAGAGAGATCTTGTATCTGACCTTCTCCTGCAGCATGTTCTTCCTTGCTGCCTCATCTTCTTCACCAGCAGTGGAGGTCTGGGATCCCGTTTCCCGCCTCCAGCTCCTGCAGAGCGGCGTACAGCAGACAGAACGCGCCCGGTGCGTCCGACGCCCGAGCTGAGGCAGAAAAACGTTACAGCCTGATTAACCACACTGACCCTGAGGCACCTACCGCATCACTGAGGAGGTAAGGTGAATATCAAGTAACAAAACCCACTGGTGCACTGAAATCTGCAGGGATCAAATGATAATTTTAAAAAACTGGAAAAACTACATAATGTTAGAAGCGTCTGTAACAAACTCAGCCTGATGTAGTTTGATTCTTAGCTTATGGACAGTGCAAAGAATAAGATCTTATTGATTTCTAGATTTTAGTTATTTTTGCTTTGTTCAAGTTGTTTAGGTTCATTCTGGATCAAATCTTCTATATTATTGTATAAGAAATGTATTTGTAATTTTATGACTGTGTTTGTTTAATTCTGATTTGTGGCACACTTTAGTATCATTTGCCTCATGCTGTTATGTTGCTGTGAACCCTTGACTTTATTAACTGATTGACTTTATTCATTAAAAAAGGTCAAAAGGTACAAAACAGTGTTACAAAGTCAAAAGGTACAAAACAGTGTTACAAGAAATGAAGTTGAAATCTTCCACCAATTACTCCTGTGTTGGCCATTGAGGTTAATGCAGGCGTTTCTGGGTTGAGACCAGTTGTCGGAGGAACTCGTATCA